ACTGCTGCTATCAACAAGTCATCTACATATTGTAATAATACACACTCTCCTGGGATAGACTCGAAATCTAGTAGATCTTGACTTAGAGCTGAACCAAATAGGGTAGGTGAATTTTAAACCCCTGGGGCAATCTTGTCCAGGTCATTTGGCGTTTCGAGCCCGTTACAGCATTTTCCCATTGGAAAGCGAAGATACATTGGCTTTCTGCGGCAATTCGGAGGCAAAAGAAGGCATCTTTGAGATCTAAGACTGTAAAGTAAGTAGCCCCGCCCGGAATTAAAGCAAGCAGGTTATATGGATTGGGCACGACTGGATGTATACTAACAACCGCATCATTGACTGCTCTCAAGTCCTGCACAGGTCGATACTCATCTGTACCGGGCTTTTGAACAGGCAGCAATGGGGTGTTCCAGGGGGAAGTACAGAATTTTAGGATACCATACCGTATGAACTTATCCAGATAAGATTGGATGTTCTTCTTAGCCTTCTGCGGAATATGATATTGTCTCAGGCTTACTGGATAAACCCCAAGTTTTAGTTCGATTTTAATAGGTGGAATATTGCGGGCCAGTCCTGGTGGGTTGTTCTCTGCCCAAACTCCTGGTATGTTAAATAAGGATTCATCACTCCTCGGGTTTTGGCTAGTCAACACTGTATAAAGTCGCCACTCTTCTTCCTTTGGTACGGACAATGTCATAATACCTGAGGGTCCATTAAACTTTAAGGATGTTGTTCCATTTGGTAGGAACGTAATCTGCGCTTGTAATTTGGATAGCATATCACGTCCCAGCAATTGGACTGGACACTCAGGCATATAAAGGAATTGATGTTTTACTACGTGGCCTCCCAATGTACAGAGTCGACTTTTAAGAACCGGTTTTTCAGCACTTCTTCCAGTTGCTCCTATTACAGTAATAGTTCTTCCAGATGGAGGAGCAACTTGATTAGTCACCACCGAATGTTCAGCACCAGTGTCGATCATGAACGCACTCCTTTTTCCCCCTATTGATACATCGACCATAGGCTCCGCTCGACCAAGGGGGATGGAGCCCGGTCGGTATCAATAGTCCTCCATGACCGTGTCAGCCAATCCCACAAAGTCCCTACCTTCTCTATCGCGGGACCTTTGCGCTGCTGGATAGTACCTATCTTCCCTTACACTTCCTCTGTTCCCATTACTCCCTCTATTACCATTACTCCCTCCGGGGCCTCCTCTACCTCTCGCTCTGCCTCTAAAGTTTCCGTAACCTGCCCTGGGTAAGTCTCTCTCATACTGCTCTCTTTGCGGACACTCGTTCCTCCAATGCCCTTCTTCCTTACAGTACGCGCACTGATTCCTACTCAAAGGCTCCCTATTCCATCTACCATCGCCTCTATCTGGGCCCCGTCTATCTACGCCTGCGATCGCTACCGCTAGCATATCTGCCTTTCTACGCATCTTGCGCTCTTCCTCTTTCTTACTTTCTGTTTCCCTATTCATATATACTTTGTTCGCTACCTCCATTAGTTGGGTGATAGACATACCTGCAAACCCTTCTAATTTCTGTAGCTTGCGCTTAATATCTCCGTAAGCTTGGCTGACAAAGGCGGAGTTTACCATTCGGGAATTATCAGCGTCTTCCGGATTAAAGGGGGTATACAAGCGGTATGCCTCCAATAATCGGTCATAAAAGACACTGGGCGCTTCATCACTTTTCTGAATCACCTCAACTGTCTTCGACATGTTAATAGCTTTCTTCCCTCCGGCTTTCATGCCAGCAATTATAGCATCTCTATAGGCTTTAAGTTGAGCCATATCTGCGCCATTTACATTCCAGTCAGGATCGGTGTTAGGGTAATGTGTTGCGGCCCATGCTGCCGGATTGGCTTGATTTAAAGCACGGGCTCTCTCCTCTAGCGCCTTAATGGCCGCTTGGTTAATCCTTGTCCTTTCCTCATTATTGAACAATGTCATTAATAACTGCTGGCAATCAGCCCATGTCGGGTTATGTGTCTGAACTATCGAGGTGAACAGATCGGTCATAGCTTGTGGTTTCTCAGTGTACGAGGAATTGTGGGTCTTCCAATTCAAGAGATCGGTAGTCGTGAACGGGACATATACGAAGACTGGGTCAGCATGTGCCATTTGACCTGCGGCATCGATATAGGCTGACCCAGGATTCAGACGAAGAGGCATCTGGTAATGTTTCAATTGTTGGGTACCGGTCAGTTGTCGGGTTAGTATGGGGCTACGTGGAGGGGCGTCAGTTAAAGGTTCCGGTCGAGAGGTAATAGGGCATGAGGATGTGGGAACTTGATTTTGGGAAAAGTTAGTGAATAGTATACTCCGAGCCGAGCTAGAAGAAGCTTGACCGGAAGTTTGAAGTGGCGCCAAATCAGGATATTCAAATCTAATGGGGGTTGGTCCTGGTTCCGGAAGGGGAGTTTTAATACGAGGGGGGGTGGATTCTGTACTGGAGGAGGAAGCGGAAGTGGATGGGGGCAATAGGGGAAGGGGTGCAGAGCTTCCTGCATTCGCGTCACTTCCTCTTAAAGGAAAGTAAGGGGGCGGCAAAGGGATCTCGGACTCAGGGGGCGTGTCCAAAATGGGCCTAACACCAGTCCTAGTGGACAAACAAGTCCTGGCCACCATGAGGCGACATTGCTCCTCGTGGCATATCCGGATCCATTTTGGCGAGTCGTTTACGGCCTGCCCCCAACAATCAATGTATGGAAACTGTCCGTAAAGTTCAGGCCTACCTGATACAGCCACGTGTACACGCTGTACCAGGGTTGGATCCAAACTGCCACGCGGCGGCCATGCCGCAACCAAAATAGGCCACTCCCTAGTGCACAAAGTGACCAAACGTACAGGAGACATTTTAACCCCAAAATCACATGTTTTGAATCCCTTTTTAAAATTCTTACCATACAACCTAAGGGATCCGAAATCGTTGACTCTGACGCGCCCATACTTATCAATGGAACGTCGTTGACAACGAATACTATGCACGCGTTCTTATTCAACAGTCACACCCGTTTCCTCTGGCAACAGCACCACGTGGTACAGTTACCGAGTGAAACGTACACAATAACACAATAATCACTCAGGGAATTCCCGTACACACACAGCTGTTACACCAGTCACTAAATAATCAATATTATGCCCTTTGGCGAAACTATACAGTCACCCACGCTATAATTCTCTATATATGAATTACCCGTCTATAACACACCCCAGTAACATCGCCTTTTACTAGTATCGGTTACAGTACGGTTAGCATAGGTCAAAGCACAATTTAAGGTCACAATACAATTATTAGTGGTTACGGTGTTAAACATGCAATAGACGACAATGATTAGTACTTATATACAGTGTCAGTAAATATACAGGGTTATGGTACCGTGCACTATGATACAGCAACACACTATTAACACTCTCGCTAGACGGCTGAGCTCGCGCTATCTAACAAGATATACACTTTACTAACAATCTTTAACACATTTACAATCCCAACTAAACTATTGGCCAGTACCTTGAATGGACTACCTAAAACTATATACACCCGTTTTGGTTAGCCACACTGCCCAAACACCACATATAGCGAACTAGAGGGCGAAATTTACAAAATTGCCCTTCTAGTCTATTTACTCTATCAAAAGTCTAGTGGGTTCCAAATTTACACGCCTTCCCACTTAGCCAAGATAGGTTGAGAGCTAGCGAACCGAATTTACACAGGCGCCGCTTAGTCTCCCGGTCCCTCCGACCTAGCGAACGTAATATACACCCTAGAACGCTAGTCTAGACAAGACACCGGTGTCCGGCTAGGGCTATTTACACAGGACCCCGCCTGACTAACCAGATCAAACGGTCTTACTAAAGAGCGTTCGATCGAGCGGTGCGCCTTCGCTCCTTCCCTCCGACAGAGGGGGCAGATTCCATACACAGATTTAAACCCCTTTTGGGCCTACCGCACAATCGGTATACCCCTAGTGGGTCTGCCGTCTAAAACAGCAGTTGTCTTACCTCCTCGTTCCTGAACCTGAGTTCACACTCATCGACGGGGACACCCCAGCACTTCTTACGTAGAGGCCGATGATCTCCTGGACAACAGACCAGTGGCGCCGAGACGAAGGGAGGTCCACGCAGAAGTTCAGGGGTGCAGCCGTAGAGAACGTGGGCAAAGATAGACCGTCTCACGCCTCTGCCTCTCAGCTACCGTTGAACGATGAGCTTCCCGGCCAATGCACCAAATGATACCGGAGAAACTGACGGAAGCAAAGCACAGAGAGATGGACACAGGTTTCTTCAGGAAGGAAGAGATTCTTTATTGGATCACCGATCGGGACTCAGAGGGACTAATGTCACCAAAAATACAGCAAGTTCTGAGCCCTGAACAATAGTGCAGGCTCCCTATATAGGCACATAACTCCTCCCATATTAAGCTCCACCCGCACATTCTCTTGACCAATCATTACAAATAAGAATTAACTTCCTGCTTGACCGCATGGCTTGTCCAGCACAATGGAGGAGGGGAATACTACATCCTGTATTCTTGCACATGCTCCGTACACTACTGATCGTATCTTGCCTTGTGCAACCAACTGATCGATACGTCAGCATATGCACGTACACATGCCACGTGGTAATCTCGGCCTACTAAATTTATTTTTACCGAGATTCCACCACAATACTATGTAATAGGGTTTTCCAGAGGAGGAAGTGTTTTAATAATGGAATGGTAACATTTCTACATAAATATTTGTCTTGTGTTTTGTAACTGTTTATGTGTGAGCTGGTATTTAACATTACTGAAAGATATGCAGACTTTTTTGGTATCTGCATGTACAGGTCTCCTGGATGCCTTTAAAAACTTACATTTGTAAAAAAAAAAATTTCAAATCATATTACTTTTTTACATTTTTTTTATTTTATAACACTGTATCAATTCTTTCTGTCTTCTGTTTTTCTCCCTTCTGCTGTTAATGCTGTTTTAGCTTCAGATAGTAAGGATGAAGATCTCAAAACTCATCCCAAGAGATGCTTTCTGGGTAGGTACTGGGTGCACCCACCTTGCATGAGATCTTTCTTTTTCCGTATCGTGTGATTTTTGTTTTATTTATTTATTTTCTGCTTTGGTGTGCTTATTCGTTTGTTGTTGAGTTTGCATGGATTTAACAGTTTTAATAGATTTTTATTTATTTTTTGCTTTGGTGTGCTTATTCGTTTGTTGGGGTTTGCATGGGTTTAACAATTTTCATTTATAATTTTTTTTTTTTTTTTTTTTAACCTGTGGTGAGCCAGTGGCTTTGAAATCCATATGCAGAGCTCTGAACATAACGAAAACTTGAAAGTGAATGTTTAAATATGCACAGCCCTGTGACAAGTAAAGCTTATTTAAAATTTTTAAAAAATAAAGTAGCATTCAGGAACAAGTAAAGTTAAACACTCCAAACACCATAACCACTGTTATGTTATGTTTTTCAACAGTTTTCAAACACTTTTTCACTGGACACTGCACTCCATTCTCACTACAGCTACAGGGGAGTTGTGGCAGTGCAGAGATTAGATCATTGGCTGAGATTGATCAGCTGATGCTCTTAGCCAGTGAGTTAGTCATTCAATACAGGACTTAGTTCAGGAAAGCTGTCTTTAAGGTGTAGTGGAGGTGGAGAGCACCACCCAGTGGACCCCAAGTAAGAAGTCAAACCATTCTAACACAATTTGACTGCTTACAATGGGGGTGCATGAGGGCACTCTTGGCACCATAACCACTATAAGCACACTGGTTCTTGGAGTGTTCCTTTTAAGCTGAATTTCATAAACCTCCGGTAACAAAAAAAGCAGAGTGAAAATTGCTGAAACTAACTAACAAATCTTACTGTGACTACATAAAGTAAACATTTTTAAAACATTTTTTGAAACACAAAATCTTTATTTTGGTAATGCAAAGTATACACAAAATGAACAAGAGATATTTGCACATAAAGTTGTAAGGGAATCCCAAGCCACACATATCTCGCTTGATGCACTTTTTTTTTGAGTTTTATAAAACAGGATTACTAGCTATTAAGGACATCTATGTGATGAGAGAAATTGTATAACCATCAATTATACCTGACGCCCTGTTAGAGGTGATTACATGGGTTTAGATAGAGATGACCCGAATGGTCATTGACATACTTAGGGAGATACATGAACATCTCCCAGGGAACCCATGAGGCACAGTTGGCAATAGAGATATGTTGGACACACACAAAAGGCACATCAGGCCGTAATTACCATTAAGTAGCCATAGCTGAGTAATGCTGAGCAATCAAAAATTTAATATTTCTATTAGAGGTGATTTCATTATGACTTGGGGGATTTCACACGGGGGTAGAAAGAGTGGCCCGAATGGTCATTGACATACTTAGGGAGATACATGAACATCTCCCAGAGAACCCATTGTATAATAATGTTGGGGTCCAGTGAGGACTGTAATTGCATTCTGTGAAGGGTGCTAACGGTATGGTGGCCCAGAAAGCCTTGGTAAGATGCCGGTATCCAGACTACCCCACAGGTGGGATAATAGGGTGAGGGAGAATGCAATTGAGTGTAGTACCCCTAACCAAGGGGGCAGCAGGGGGAAGGGAGGGATTGCTTGATATTAATTACACCATTCCTTAAGTACTGGAGGGCTGGTGCTCCCTTGCATTACATTTAGCAATCGTTATGCCAGAAGATTGTAACATATCGGAACAATAGAACAAAATAAAACAAAGAAAACCAGTAAAACCAGTTGTGAGGTGTTAATCTATAACAGTGGCCCATTAAGTTCATGGGGTACTAGAGCTGCCTTTGACAATGGGAAGGTCTGCTCGCAGGCAATTTCTTGTCGTCATGGTACCTGTGCTGGCACATGGAACAAAGTGGGTAACATTAGCTGGATCCCATGGGTTTTGGGCTGACTCAGGGTTGTAGGTGGGAGAGACAGACCCAATTTCTTTAGGAAGGGTGTTGCATCGTTCATGAAGTGGAGAACGTGGGTGCCTCCAGCCTGTGTTAGCGCCAGAGAGTTGTCAGTCCCCCATCTGTAAGGCAATCCTGCCGATCGTAATTGACTGGTAACAGATCCATAGGATTTTCTCCATAACAGAGTAGCTCTGGTTAAATCCTGAGAGAAGGTCAAGGTGGAGTCCTCCAAGGCAAGAGGTGTTTTGCCTTTCAGAGCTGTCCTTTATTAGAATTTTTTTCCTGGACTGTAAGACAATGGAGAATAACGTCCCGGTTCATGTTGGGTTTAGTGTGGATTGTGCTGGGAATGCAGTAGAGTCCATCTATGGTCAGTTTCTGTGCCACTGTGGGAGGTAGCAAAGCAGCTAGAAGGTGCCTGATATAGTGAGGCATTTCTTTTGCTGGGACACCCCTGATTTTTAGGTGTGCGACGTTGTCCGTCCTCTATAGCCGTGATTCTGGCAGACAGAATTCTCTGAAGTGTTTGGAGTTGGTCCTGTACTGTGGACAAGTTAGCTTGTGTGTCCACAATGTCCCCCTCAGCGACCTTTACTCGTTCAGTGACTGCTTGCAATTCCATTTTGAGTATAGCAGAGTCAGCAGCTAATATCTTGTGGATGTCGGCCAGAAGAATCTTCAGGTCTCGCTTGTGGGCAGGGCTGAGTCATTGGAGGATTCCGCAGGTATGGTGCATGTTGCCTGGGAGTTTGAAGGCACCTGCATTTCCCGGCTGCCTGGCTCGAAGTTGGTCTTGGCTGTGCAGGCCTTTGCAGCATGGCCCCAATATCTCTGTTGTCCGATCCAGAGATGGGTTTTTGTGATCTGTCGCCCATTGCTGGCATGCAGGCTTGTGCAAGGGGCGGAGAGGGATGTGAAGCGGCCCTCGCAAAGTTTCCGCTGAGGAGGGAGCACGGCATGCAGCTCCTTGAAAAGGCATTTAAATGCCTATAGCTAGACGTGTCTGTCATACTGGAAATAGCCAGTAGATGACAGCACCATACCACTCTCTATTTTGGCCTACAATTCCGTTTGCTAATATTATTATTATTATTATTATTCATAACGTGTCAACAAATTCTTTAGTGTTGCACTGATATTAGTTGAGGGAAACCCTTGGGATTAGGATTACGTTTATGGATTACAATTATGTTTATAATAAGTATTAGGTTTATATTTAGGAATTCGATTTAGAATTCATGTCAGGATTGGGATTATGCGGCTTAAAATATACCTTTAGACCTACCCAGTGGTGTCTAATTTCTCATATAGTATGCATTTATGGGGTTGCAGAATATTATTTATTTATATTCATAGCAGGCATGGATGTCTAATGGGTTAAAAAAAACAGATGGTACTTTAATTTGTCAGGTCTCTAATATGGCACTTTGCAAGGTCACAAATGCATACTTTGAGGGTATGGATTTTTTCAGGAGAGTTTGCTGAGCATAATTTGGTAGGTTTGATCACAGTGGCACATACCAGATTTTAAGAATGCTTGGTTAAAATGTAATAACAGTATGTAACAATGTAAAAAAAAAAATAGTTTTACTACAAGCTGTGACATTAACTGGGGGAAAATGCCAGCACGTGAAGACAATAAATACCATATAATATACTTTCACAAATAGCAGTCCAAGGGGCGGGCTGGGACAGGGGGGCAGGGAGGCAATTGTCCCCCAGGCCGCCCTAAATCCAGGGCCGGCGCGTCCATAGGGGGGCACAGGTGGACGCCTTAGGGCGCACCGGCTCTTGGGATGCAAGATTCTAGTGATCGGCAGAAGGGAAGCGCTCCCTCCTACCAGGCCACATTATGGACGCGCGGCGTGCGGCTGTGTTTGCATCCAAGGCGGCGAGGGAGCTCTGACTTCCCTGCTCTGCTCCCTCGTGCGCCGTTTGCTGATGCCGGAGCAGAGCCGGGAGATCACAGCTCCCTCGCCGCCTTGGATTCAAACACAGCCGCACGCCTCCCAGCAGGCTGGGTGGAACGTTTTTAATTATAAAAATATTAATAATTAGGGAGTGTTTGTGTCTGTGAGTGTTTGTGTCTGTGAGTGTATGAGTGTGTCTGTGTGTTTGTGAGTGTCTGTCAAAACAGTGAGAGTATGTTTGTCATTGAGTCTGTGTGTGACGGTCAGTGAGTGTCTGTGTGTGTGTTTTGTCATTGAGTCTGTGTGTGTGACTGTCAGTGTGTATACACCACTGAGTGTAGCATGGTGGAGTGGAGTGTGGTACAAGAGCTTCTGTTTCCTGTACCCGGCCGAACTAACAGGAGGTGCTCACTGAGAGCACCTTTCCTGTCAGTCCGGCCGGGTACAGAAAACTGAAGCTCCTGTATGGGAATCCACTCTGCTCGGCCACGCTACAAGTGAGGTAGGAGGCACACCCGGAAAGGGAGGGGACCACTAAGGGGGTGCACCAAGGGACAGAGAGGGTAGGGGAGAGAAAAACCAAGGGACTGGGAGGGGAGAGGGGCTGCTTGTAAAAGAAACACACAGTGGGGCTTGAGAAGGGGAAAAAGAGACACAGAGGGGCTGGGGGGAGACAAATGTGCTGGGTGTGAAAGAGACACACACAGATGAGCTGGAAAGAACAAAAGACACAAAGGGGCTGTGAGGAGCAAGGAGAGGGGATAAGGGTCACACAAGGGAGTTGTAAGACACACAATGGGGAAAAGTAGGAGATACTAAAGGGTGTAAGACATTTAAAACAAAAAGGAAATAAGAAACCCAAAAGGGAGGTTAAGAGGGACACGCTGTTTTGTGGGTGGGGGTAGAGGAGAAATGCATCTTCGCCTATGTACCCAAAAAGCCTTGCACAGGCCTGCCTAAATCATGTTAAAAATGGCCGCTGTCTCTTCCTGCTTGCCTGCCACGGAGGCAGAAAGGATCTCTTGGCTGTCTCTTGGCTGCGGAGTCAGAGGGAGGGGGAATGGAATGGCCACTCACTGGCTGACAGGGAGTGAGAGCTGATGCATACCGGGAGTTGTAGTCCCTGCTAGGGGCCCCCTCACGCTCATGTGGGGCTTTAACTCAGCAGTAAACTACAACTCCTAGTCCTCACACAGACAATCTTCTTGGAAGTTGGAGGCAGAGGATATGCACTAGGTAGCACCAGCGGAGCGAGGGAAAGACTTGGTGTGACTGGCTGCATTATAAAACCAGGAAAAGGTGGGCATGGTGGTGAGCTGATTCGGTGGTGCAATTGGCCACTTGACTGGTTTGGCCCCCAGGCTTAAGGCTGCCAGCCCTCCCCTGCGGCAGTCAATTTGCTATAAAGCCCACAAATAAGATATAGGCCCATCCATCAAAACTCTAACTGTAAAAACTGAAAGTCAGGTCTCCTTTACAGGATAGGGACAAAGACAGACATTGGGAGACATAAGAGTTTATAGTGCATTTCATTTAAGTTGAGACAATGTATATTTTTATATATCGTAGTAGTCAGGGAACCTTTCCATTCATCATAACTTATTTAATAATGGGACAGATGTAACTTTCTGGGTCTCCAGCAGTCAATTCTGCGTGTCTAGAAACACGTGTTTTTTCAAGATGTTCTTATTATTTAGATTTTTTTTAAGCTTCTCCTAAATGTGAGATTTGTCGCTGGGTAGATGTTCTCGGAGGTACTCTTTGGCTCTTATGTATGTACAGATTTCTATGCTGTCTAGATTATATTCAGTACATAGGGAAGTGAAGTATTTAATTTTCTTTTCTTTACATTGGTCATGAATTTTTGTAATACCGGAGTTAATCCATTTCTGTAAATTTAAATCCTCAATATTATTCGCGAATTGTCCTAGGGAAAGAGAGGTAAATATTGTATTTTGGAGTGATATTTATTTTTTAAATTTCTCCCATGTAATCCATACTCTGTTCAGAACTATCTGATTGAGTGATAATTGCGTGCTCAGTATTGCAAGTTTTCCATTGTTGTTTTAACTGGGGAATGTCCAGTCCACTTTGGTCAACCCTTAATGCCAGTCGCTTTGAATTGATACAGGCATGCTTCCTTGACCAGACAAATTTATTAAAAATGTATTAGGTAAGAGTCAGACAGCTGTCTGGGCTTGCTGGAGGTACCATGCAGAAGCGATACACCCACTTAGGGAAAATGTATAATGTTTATTCTCCCCCACCATGACACCTACCTATTTTTCCTTTTGCGTGGCAATTTTGTTTTCTGTGATAGCTATTAAACTTACAAGACAAAAATACCAAATTCTAAAATTGCTCTATATTGATTTTATTTTACTTTGTGTACCTGTAACTACCAACTATAAACTGAAATCCTAGACCCAGTATGTAGTCTGTAAACCAGAACATATAAATTAATTTATTTTGAAATACTTTTATGAGCTGTATTAATTATGCATACATTATAATTGCCAAAAACGTGGGTAAAATGTGTTTTTGTTTTTTCACTTTTGTTTTGCATTTTTGTGTGCTATTTTTATTTTATTTTATTCACAATAAATGAGCATTTTTATATGCATGTCACATAAAATTAAAGCCCTTTTTATCCTTTAAAAAAAAAAATAGTATGTAATGTGTCAGTGGAAAAAACGACAAAGATGGAAATTACAGTGAAACACAAAAATGCAAAACTTGCTTTGGTTCTTCCATACACATTGTATACCATCACATGTTGTTGTGTTGTTCACTTTTTCCTTTAAACAGAATGAGACTAACGTAGTAATAAATGTCAGATATATTTTAAGATCCATACTTACATTTTTCAATGCGTCTGGTCAGTCACTTGCTACAGGCATAGCCTGACATATACTGACTACTCTATGACAGAAATACACCTGCTTCTACACCTGTCAGACTTAGTTTTTTTTTCTGCTTGAACTTCTATCATAGAAGCAATAGTTGAACATTTATACTGACTCTTCGTCTTTTAAAAACCTGTAGATCTGTCATTATTCCACTAGAGGGCACCTGATGCTAAGCAGTGATTGAGATTCACTTGCTGAGTCATTATAGTGTAGATTTATTCATATTTTTGCAACTCTGTTTCTTGCCTGCTTTTTTAAATTAAGTTAGCGAGGAGCTATTTGTTTTGCAGTGTTCTATGTGACTTGTGAAAGTGAGATGAATTGTATGTAGTAATGTCAAAATCAGTAAATCTGCCTCCATTGAATCAAAACAACGGAGTTTACATATAAAAAGTGTCTCTTCTGAAAAGTGGTACAAACATGGAAAAGAAGATGAGTCCCCAATGTAATGTGCCAGGGGTGGAGGTAGATTCCACCAGTCTGCTTGCTGGTTGTGACACTTTTAGTACAACCGAACACTTTTTACACATAACCCCCTATATTTCTGCAGTTATCAAGGTCGCTGGTACTTCATGTGGTACAAAGACAGCTCTTTGTAGAAACATAGATGCTTGTGTCTGATGTTCCCTGAGTGTCTCCGCCATTACAAACCTTTCCCTGTTTTAAAACTATCGTAGTACATGTTTAGGTACTATCTTCTGATATTGTAATATAATGACTTTGTTATACGGAACTACATGTTGTTTAGTGTTTTTTGTAACATTTTGTTTGTTTTATTATTCACTGAAGTTCATCGCTCACCGGCACCATACTAAATCAAAGGTGCTATGTTAATGCAGATCTAATGGCACATGCACAGGTAGACATTAGTTGTGGTAAGAAGATAATCACGTTGCTAAATTTACATCAGTGTCTCCCATGTCAGCTGAAACACAAAGCTTTACTTGGAATTTGGCCTCAAACTAACTTTCAGCTTTGTTTTGTCATCTATATCCCTCAAAGGGTTATATACAGTATGTATATATGAAATGAAGAAGCACCCTCTCTCAGTTCCTTTACTGGAGCGTTAATTTCTGAGTTTAATAGTGGCGTGGTTTAATATATTTATTAACCTACTATCTATGATCATTCTGCTGTATAATCTGTTTAGATGTATGTTTTTAATTTTATGTATCAATGTAGCTTGAAGAAAGCCTATAGCACATTGACCTTCTGAGAATCCTCGTTTCTTGGCAAACATATTATATTAAAATATATAGAACTGAAGAAGCAATAGGACCAATAAAACAAATTGTTATTAAATTAGTAATAACACTCAAAGCAACAAAAGTATTAGATTAAAACTTGTTATTATGCTGTGCAGTTATACTTCCGTGACGTTCAATGTATTTAAATGATGTATGATAATGCAATAATTAATACCAATAATACAGCAAGTCTATAGGAACAGAAGCAGGATAGTATAATACAGAAGGGACCTGATCTATCTATCTATATATCTATATCAGGAAAAAACATGGTGTCTGATAGCAACCCACTATTTACAAAGTAATTATATAAAAATATTAAAAACAAAACAAACAAAAAAACATGAAAAGTGCTGTAAATAAAATGGACAAAATATATATAAAAAAAAATAATAATAAAGAAAAAAGATTAAATCAACTTAAAAGAAAAAAATTACTAAATATAAGCTCCTTGGTGTCCGTGTTTTCAGTCAGTGAATCCAAGAGGTTTCTCTCTAAGAGCACGGTTTCTCCCTGTTGTCTCCCACTAATGTCTATTATTTTGCTCACTAGTTTGACGTTTAAAATGAATAAACCTAAACTGAGGACAATAATTACAATGTATGGGTACTCAATGTTTCTTTTACTTTTTCTCTAATATTGTTCTGATGTTCTTGGATCCTCTCTCAATTTATGTTTGGTCTTCGCACACATTTGGCACAACGAGAAGGTGGCGTCTACTTGTTGCTATGATGCAATAAGTGTTGCATCATACTTAAGTTACAAAGTGCGATTGGATCAGTTAAATTGAAACTGCAATGTCCAAATATAAAAAATAAAAATCACAGATTACTATATATCCCTAATGAAAACATACATGCTTTGAGAAATCTCAACTGAGAAGTATTTGCAAGGTAGCTGCTCTGAGCAACTGCCTGCCTCTTGAATTTAGCTCCACTGAGCTAGCTTACTGGTGTTTCTTCTACATTTCTTGATACAACTATCCAAAATCTCCCAATTATTATTATTATTTTTTTTTACTGAGTTTCTTTAATTTGTCTAAAAATTCATATTGTAATTTAACACACACAATTTAAGCCCTGCGCTCATACTCCCACTGTTCCTAGGCGGCAGTACATCAGCCCCAATGCATACAATAAAAATGAAGAAAAACTGTTACTTGCGCACTATCCAAAATCCCTATGCACATTTTAAATTAGTGATACTAAAAAAACTCCAGTTATTTAAATGTAAATAGGGATTTGCGATAGTGTGCAAGTAACTAAGCCCCTCCCCCTTCCCCCCCTCTGGTTTTAATTACATCTTACATTAAACTAACATATATTCAAACATGACTTTCATCCAAGCGATGTTTGTTCCTCTGACATTAGCAGGATGTGTCATGACATCTAACTCATTTTAGTGTTCTGTGTCTGTAATATTTGTGGTATCTTTGTGTTTTATGGAACCTAGCATTTCATACTTCGAGAAAACGGTGCTCAGTAAAGACACCACTCCAGATTCCGAATTCAAAGCTTTTTCATATGGTAAAAAAGGGCGATGATTACAGGACCCTCACAAACCTAATTAAGTATCCTTTTGAGTATCACTTTTTTCGTGTTCTGCTGTATTTACCTTTCACGGATATTTGTGAATACTCTATTGCTTATTGTGGTATTTATTGTGGCTCAAGGAAGCAAGGTGAAGGGTTCGTGTAGGACCCGCTTAGGGGGGTCCCTCCAATGGCCATTGGAGTAACTACATTACCTCCATTTGTTTAAATATACATAGGGATTTAGGAGAGAGCGCAGGTAACTTTTTTCCCTTTGGTTTTTACTATATATTGGGGCTGATGTGTACTGTGGTCGTTGCTGCCACCCAGGAGTGATGGGACTGAGAGCAGGACTTATCTTTTTGTATTTGTTATTGTGGTATTTAGTCTACAGAAAACATTCTTGAAGTCATCATTCATTGTTTAGTTTAACACAGACAAAGAAACTATTTCTGGCATGTAACCTTAATTTACACAGACCATTAACCATTAATTGTGTACAGCATGTATCTAATCTTGCACCTTCTAGATTATAAAGTTAATAAACTTCCACTCTCTTACATTCTCAATCCCATATCTATCACCATCTCCATCATGTGTGGTCCGAGTGGCTCCTCTGTGCTTACGGGACGTGTGCCATTAATATTCCTAGTAGGCCATGTCTTCACTGCCAAAGGCATTTCACCTCATTTTACAGCTTTGTTTTAATAAGGATTTAATTATAGAAATCATGGCACCATGGTCTCTATTTAGTAGCAGCTTTGGCATTGCTACTGAATGAAGCAATAATTAAAGACAAGTAAAAGTGTGTGTATAGATGTTTAGACGTCTCATGCCTGCTACTGCTGAACTATATTGCAGAGTAACCAAGACAGGCATTTTTCCAGTAACCTGGACGCAGACGGAATGTTCAGAGGCCATTAGCTGCTCTGATAAATTGTTCTGTTCTACGTAGAGGATAGGAGACCAGATCTGGGTGCCAGGGGAAAATCATACATGTTTATTTTCTTCTTTAAAACAACTCTACCAAGGTCCACCTCATAACAACTTCAGCTCATTAAAGTACATGCTGTTTCTCTTAATGAACGACCAGTGATTTGCTGATAGTCTCAGCTGAGGCCCTCTGCCTATCACCAGCTGTGTGGTAAAACTTTCTCATACTGCAAGGGGCTGGGATGAAGTAAGGAGACAGTGGTGTCAGTGTGGGAGGAACAAATTTAGGATTAAACCATTTAACAAATGAAAGATGGCGCCAGGCACTCTAATCCCTATAACTATTTTAGTGAGCGGAAGTTTTCTCGGGGTGGTAGTGTTCCTTATGGGGTTTACAATTACAGTTTATACTTATTGGAATTTTGCATTGATAGAAGATTGCAATTCATAGTAAAACTGTAACATTTCCTTTCTAAAGACCGAAATGGGAGATACCTGTATCTAAAGTGGGTAGTTCTGACTTCCAGAATACAAAACACAAATGGAGATTTTTGAGGTACTTTAAAATGAATCTTCGCGAATCAGGTTTTAATATTTGGGTTATTTTGCTGCTTTATCCCATGAAATTGCAATGTTGACTTAATGAGGTGATCTGGGTGCCAGGTCCATCTAGGGTTAACCCTGCCTGCTGTAAACATAGTGTCAGAGAAACTGCTATGTTTACATATGGGTTAATCCAGCCTCTCATTTACAGCCGCTAGAGGCGCTTCTGTGCCTCTCACTGTGATTTTTCAGTGAGAAGACGCCAGCGTCCATAGGAAAGCATTGAGAATGCTTTCCTATGGACCGGCTGAATGCGCACGCAGCTCTGGCCGCGCATGAGCATTCAGCCAGGGACGTCAGAAGAGGGAGAAGAGTCCCAGTGCCGAGGGAGCCCTGCGCTGGAAAAAGGTAAGGGATTAATCCCTTCCTCCCCCTTCAGCGCCACGGGAGTTTATTTATACTTAAAATTTGCCCGAATTGTATTTATTAGTGTTGCTCAATATTTGGAGAATGGCAGGTCTATTTGATATTTTGTTGCATTTGCCAGCAATACAATGCTTTTTGCTATTTAACATTGTCTCCTTTATGTGAAAGTCTAACAAAACAAATAGTGTATCCATAAACACATTTTGAGTTTTATTATTTGACCATCCATTGACTATCTCAAGTCTTCAGATATACTTGTGAAAAATTTTTTATGTCATCTACCAAGGGACAACTAATTGATGTGACATTATGTTCTAAAATGCCAAGTTATTTCTGAAGTAAAAATACACATCTCCTTTATTTTTTTTTTTTTTTTAAAGCAATTACATGTTTTTCCTTTTTAATTGGGTTGCATTGATCCAAATGTAACCTGCTCATTGTGTCTCATGGTGTTCCAATCAATTACAATAAAAGAACGTTTCCATTTTTGTAAACTGAATAAAGGGAGATACAGCATTTTCAATTGAAAATCACAAATGAATGTTGCACTGATATGTATTATATTACAGAGAGTAACACTATACAAAGCAGGCAGTCCTGGCCAAGAAGTAAAGAGTGAGTGTGTGTGTTAAGTTGAAACCACCAGGAATATAAAGAGATGCCTTGGATTTTCTTCAGAAGTTGGTTCACTAACTGACCTAACCCATAAGTTATAATGCACATACAATAAGATGGACCTGCAACATGGTAGTTTCATATGAACCATGCATTGTACGCCAATTCACATATACACAGTGTGTGCTCTTAAAATACCTTGTAATCTTCTTTTGTTTCACTGCTGTGTTACCGTCACACGAGAGGCTGTACACTTTGTGTAGGATGCAGTTGCAGTGATGGTTACATTCATATGTTATGTAAAGCTGGGTTTATTGTGTATACTTTTAAGTGAATCTGGAAATCTTGTCATTACAGATTTTGATGTGACCTTCTTTTGGCACTGGAGCAGATTCTTGGATTACATCCAGTGTGTGCTGGCTTTCACTGGTGTGGCTGGATACCTTACCTATCTGTTCCTGGACTCTGTGCTCTATGTAGAGACATTGGGATTCCTTGCAGTGTTTACAGAAGCTATGCTTGGAGTACCTCAGCTTTACAGAAATTACCAAAACAACTCCACCGAAGGAATGAGGTCAGCTTACTCATATTTTCACTTGTCTTCAGTCAGTTTACCCATTTTTGGTCTGTTCCTTTTTACCCTTTCTTGTTATAGTTATTTTTGTATTTATAGAGAATGGAATACATTGATTAGCCTACATGATATTAGATAGGGACACATGCTGTAGGGATGTTAGAATCCTTACTAGTGCACGTGAACAGAGGACCCTGGTGCAAGACATTTTTGGGTGCCCCTTAAAACGGCACTGTCCCACCACATTAAAAATTTGTATTTCATAAAGAAGGAATATTCATGAAATACTAATTTTGACTGTATTGGAATTTCACTGAAATTCCAACCCAAGCAAGAAATATAATAGATACTACTTTGTCTCTGTATATTTCCTCTGCCTGAGTTTCTTAGACACCGGGTAGAGCTACAGTGTCAATCCCGACAATGACGGTTGTATGGACTGGCTCTGTCTGTGGAGGATCCCACGGTCTTGCAGAATACTCCATAGACCTCAATACTGTACTGTTACATACAGTAGTGATGACGGCTCCTGGCACTGGAGGAAGTTTGCTGCACCCGCAAAGGGACAGGTTTAGGTAAATAATCTCACCTATACCGTGGCCCCCCTCCTCCAGCCACCGGACCATTAGCAGCATTGTCACAGTCGGGGGCTCTTTGCAGATTCTGCAAAGTCCCCAGATGGTGACAGTGCTGCTATAAGGTAAATCATATTTAGGATTAGGGGAAATAGCATACATTGAAAGGGGGCCTGTTGCATCGTCATCATTACAAAGAGCATACGTCTTATAGTGTTCCTTTAGGCATATAAACCTTTTCTGTAACCACGTACTTGTATGTGTGCATAGGTAGTATTAATTTTTCTATTTTTGTGTGTTTGCTTACAGTCAGGAAGAATGTGTGTGTTTGTGAATATAGCCTAAGTGTTTGTGAATGAAAGAGTATGTGAGAGTATGATGGTATTCATTTCTGTGGCTAGTTTGTGTGAATGTCTGTGTTTATTTGCAAAGTGTGCCAGTGTTTCATACACATAAAACCACTCTCTTTAACCCCTTAAGGACACAACTTCTGGAATAAAAGGGAATCATGACGGAATATTTCCATCATATGCCCTTAAGGGGTTAACAAGTTTCTTCTCAAACTCCATTATTTTCAGCTCCTCCATCATCGAACACCCATCTCTACTTTTTTCATCAGTCCAGTTTTCTTGTTTTTGTTTTCTGAGCCCCAACTTTTCCCATCACCTCCCAAACTTTCTTTCCTGGCCCCTGTTCCTTGACAAGCCTTATTTCCTTCCCAAGCTCTTTTTAGATTAGTCCGTTCCCTCTCTGCCTTCACATTCTCTTTAGGTAACACTTTTTTTCCCTTTGTTTCAAAAAGTTTTCCTTAATAAACTTCCCCGTCCCTCCGATAATGAGATCTGATCTGCCTCACAACAGCTAGGTGGTCTCTGCAAAGAGCTGACCAATTCATCAAGAATCTCTGTCTTTCCAAAAATAAGTACCCCTGGCTGCTGTCCATCCATCGTGTGTTTAAAATAATGTGCAGCAATCAGCTTGCTACAAGCACTGACTCGTTAGAGTCATTCTCGCCGTTAGTAAAAGCTGCATGTACTCGTGCAGTGTAGGATCAGCAGCTGTGATAATGCCATAAGAGTCCTTGCAACTTAACAGCTTCAGTAAGCAGAAGAAGGTATGGTTCCACTTTTAAAAACATTTCCCCCCCTTTATCTACGTTTTCCATTTTCCCGAAATGGCAGATTGATATCTATAGACCATATTCTTTCCTAGGCACAACTTTGTTTTATTATATCTCTCAACAATGCTGGCGGGTCAACCGCAAAATAACACTTTATCGCATTACAACTGGGATACTTAAGAGACCGCTTGTGAAGGAGATAAGTACCCTCTGATATCTAGCTCGCAGGACCCTCATCAGTTTAATTGTTGTGTGAATGTGTGTAGATGAAACCTGTTTATTTTTACTGACTTATCTTACCATATAACAGGCTTATATAACTGGTGGGGAAAAATAGGTGTCATAAAATTTTGAGGAATCGTATAAATCTAATAGTCAAATGAAGACTTGGAAACTTCTCATCCTTTTTTTTTGGTGGGGGGCAGTGGGAAGAAGGAGTCATGATGATGCTGAACATTTGCAATCCAAAATTCCTTCTAATGAGCATTAGATTATAGAACAAATGTGCTTTTTCTCTCCCGTGATGGCAGAAAAAAGGTTGACTTGATGTCCTCACGGTTATTTCAGAGATAAGACTTTTGTCTGTAGTTGTGTTCAAAGGGATTTATTTGCATAGTTAAAAATCCTTGTTGGTTGTGATCTTTTTTTGTTTTAATTGCAGCTCTCATTTGAGCACAAGATAATAGGACACATAAAAGACAAGTGCTAATATCCACAGGGAAAGTTAATCCTTATTTGTGACCTTGTTTCTTTCAAGTCACAGGTGCTTTCTCTTAAAACATTAATTAGCTGGTGACACCAAGAGAAGGACAATTTTGATTAATGCAGATCAGCTCTTATTTATTCAACCACGGCTTAATTTTATATTTTGTCTCTCCTTGAAAATGTTCCCACAGACTTTCATGAGAACAAAGAAAAACTGGTATATGGGAACTTAGAGTGCACCTAATGCCTCTGACAATTCAATATATACTCTTTTTCTAAATTGGTCATTCACAATCACAATAACAAATTGCCTTTCACTGAGGTCAGCCATCTTTTTATTGTACCATTAACTATACCATGAATATCTTATAGTGTTGGGTTAATTTTACATTTATATTCTGGTTTACAGAATGCCCTATGAGAAGTATGATAACACAGTGAAACGGCAGGTTTAGATATGCAATGCATTATACCAAAAAGTAAAAAAAACAATCACCGCAAATGTTTTTCTATTGTGATTAAACATGTGAATATGTATCTCTGAAAATGAAGGACTAGTGGATTGTAGTAATTGTTTCTTAATGTCATTAGTGCTTCATTCTTTCTGTCATTCTTACAGCACATTTAATGGCTGTCTTTCTGCTCATTTCTGGATATCTTCCACAAAACAGAACACACAGGGTTCTGTTCATCTTTTTCTTTATTATTATGTTATTATTTTATTTATATAGCACCAACAAATTCCACAGCGCTTTACAGTGGGTGGACAAACAAACATGTAGTTGTAACCAGACTAGTTGGACACACAGGAACAGAGGGGTTGAGGGCCATGCTCAATGAGCTTACATGCTAGAGGGAGTGGGGTAAAGTGACACAAAAGGTAAGGATAGTATTAGAATAATGACAGTTGAAAGAGAGCAATCAGTTGGGAGCGATTAACAGTTTAATTGATACCTTTTTATGAAGAATTGGGTTTTTAATGATTTTTTTGAAGGAGTGGAGACTGGGTGAGCATCTAACGGAGGAGGGAAGTGAGTTCCACAGGAACGGTGCAGCCCTCGAGAAGTCTTGAAGGCAAGCATCAGAGGTGGGAGTACGGACAGAAGATAGACATAAGTCTTCAGCAGAGCGCAAGGGTCTCGACGGGACATACTTGTGTATTAGGGAGGATAGATAGGTGGGAGCAGCATTATGTAGAGATTTGAAAGCAAGAACCAGAATTTTAAATTGAGCCCTATATCTTACAGGAAGCCAATGTAGGGACTGACAGAAGGGTGAGGTGTGTGCGGACAGGAAGATGTGCCTCGCCACCGCATTCATTATGGACTATAACTGCGCAAGTTTGGAGCACGTAAGACTGAGAAGAAGATTACAGTAGTCAAGGCGAGATAGGACAGTGGAATGGACAAGCACCTTAGTCGCATCTGGCCTTAAGTAGGGTCGGATACGCGCAATGTTTTTGAGATGGAAGTGGCAGGATTTGGCGATAGACTGAACATGAGGCGTGAAGGAGAGGTTGGAGTCAAAGAGAACACCTAGGCAGCGAGCCTGCGTGGTGGAGCTGATGGTAGAACTGTTGACTTGGAGACAGACACAGAAGTAGCAACAATTGAGGGAGGAAAGAACAGAATTTCAGTTTTGGTCAAGTTGAGTTTAAGGAAGTGGGTAGCCATCCAGTTAGAAATAGCAGAAAGGCACTCAGAGACACTAGTCAATACAAAATATCCATCTCATGAGCAATTCTGCGGTTATCCCTATGCCCTAGTGCATTGTATTGGCATAATATTTACAGCTTGAATTCAAATGAATTTCATTCTAAGGACAGAGTAGTCAAACTGAAAGCATAGCTGACTGATTTTTTTTTGGGGGCAATTTATACCTTCAATTTAAAATTCACTTTGAAATCTCACATTAGTGAACAACCCTGTTAATTCTGCTCTATCTGTCTTTCTTTGTTTTGAATTACTTTTATGCCCTTCTTCTACTTTGTCTTTTTTTATGATCCGCTCCTCTTTTACGACAGTGCTCGACAAATCCCAGGCACCAAGTCGCTTGGGTGTTTGCCAACTCCCGGATTCTGGAGGTGGCCGGCCCGGGGAGTCTGGAGGCGGCCGGCTGGCCGGCCTGCCCGGGGAGTCTGGAGGTGGCCGGCCAGCCCGGGGGGGTCTGGAGGCGGCCGGCTGGCCGGCCAGCCCGGGGGGGTCTGGAGGCGGCCGGCTGGCCGGCCAGCCCGGGGAGTCTGGAGGGGGCTAGGGAGTCTGGAGGCGACCGGCCACTGTGTGCCATTGGCCCAGGTAGAGTGGAGCCGGGTGGCAAGGGAACAGAAATCTTCCTGCACTTATTGCTCTGTTCAGTTGCGTACCCTGCTGTGATGACAGGGCCCAGAATATGATGTCAAAAGAAATAAAACCGGTTGCGTCAAATAACTGATCAGTACTGGTATTGCTAAGAAATACAGTTGTATGCAAGTAGTAGTAACTGGAATCTATAATTGCAAAGAATGTCCTCGTAAAACAATAAGAAAGTCCTTGATAACGGTGGTAGTTGTAGTAGGTAGTTCAATGCATTTCACCAATTAACATCGGTTCCAAGATATGAAACGACAATAAATAACATAAAGAACGAACAATAGTGTTATATTGTTTGTAACCAGTGCAGAAGCAATAATTTTTATAAAAATACACTCAGAAACGAGGAACCATCTGTTGGCTCGATTGTTTTTGCTTCTGACAATATAATCCTTATCACAAGATATTAGGTGCAGAATCACAACAAGATCTTTGTAGGGACACTGGCATGTCTTATGTTATCTTCACAGTATACGCATTTCACATGGAATACATAAAAAGTAAATAAATAAAATAGTGCAACTCAATAGAACAAACCCAGTGTGTATATAAAAAGAGAATACAATGCACTAAAAAAAAAGCGCTTCCAATTCAGCTACAACACCCTAGATTCACTATACACACTCTGCATTCATTGCAAACACACTACATTCACTATACACACTCTGCAGTCACTAGGCACACACTACATCCACTACAAAAACACACACTCTGGAGTCACTATACAAACACACACTCTGCATCTAATGAATACTAACATTACATAGATTACTCAAAACGTACAATCTGCATCCACTATACACACTGCATCCATGGCACACATCCCGCATCCACTATATGGATCCACACACACCACATTCAGTACACACATACACTTCATCCTTGTGGGCAGACTCGGGGCAGGCCCTGTGGGTGGACCTTGAGGTGTGTCAGGGGCCCCAAAATTTCTGATGGCAGCCATGGCTGCACCAATCAGTATCTTCTCATAGAAATGCATTAAGTCAGTGCAACCTTCAGCGCCTCCATGCAGAGTATGGAGACTCTGAATGTAATGCTGCTCACTGTGCAGCATTGGACTAGGAATCGTCTCTAATGGTCGTATGAGCTGTTACTAGGCAGCAATGTAAACAATGGCTTTTATCTGAAAAGGCAGTATATACATTGAAAAGCCTGCAGACCTTAAACTGTAGTGGTTCTGGTGACGATCGTGTTCCTTTAAGAATTGTATTTTTGTTGTTGAAAATTAAACTTTGTTAGTTTAAAAAACAAACACACAAACAAACCTGACTCCTAATTTTTTTTAGCAGTCTCCTAGATCTAAGAAAATTTGTAAAGCTCTATCCTACACAAAGCACAGTTAAAACCTTAAATCCTCTGCATTATAATTCACTATGTATTATATATTCATTAAGATAGAAAATGGCTCTGGGTGCAGGTATAATTTATTTAAAGTCATTTGTTTTTGTCCATCTTGGTCTTTTTTGACTTGAACGTTGAAAACCTCTTTCACAATGCATGATTATTTAACAGATATTCCTGATACTCTCCTTCCAACATAGAACAAAAAGAAATGACACAATGTAGATCACAGGAACATTAAGCAACTATGGGCTACGTTTTTTTATTAAGTTGCCACACACGCAACCTATCTGGATAGTTATACTATCTTTTTTTTTTCTGCAGCCTTTAGAACAATGTAATTTTCGTTGACCCATTTAATGCCATTCATCCATTATGTGGTCTATCTATTTGTGTACCTCAATGCCGCAGTAAATTAACAAAGCATTTTATAAAATGTTTTGAGCATGTGAAACTGGAAATAATATCATCAAGCAATTAAAGCATAAAGAAGACAAGTACAATTTATAATAAGACCCGAAGGAAAAAATGCATTCCATGGTATCGTTCCCTGACCAAAGACTGCCTCCTGGAAGTACCCTGTCATAAAGTACAGATCGCTGATTTGACAGCACCTGAGAGATGAATTCATATGTTCAAACTGCGGTTAAAATGGAACCATCTTTTGCCATCTGACTACAGTAGAGTTGGTAGAACCTCATATATAAAAAAAAAACCAAAAAAAAAAAAACAGGAGCAATCAAGCCATGTTATACATTTAGACAACATTTCCTTTTCAAAGATGAATCTCTACTAGTTTTGTCCTGTCATCATGTCGGTTATTGATGGGCTGTGAGAACGGTAACCTACGGTGATTATTCTGTCATCTGAAGTGACATGGATCTTGGTGTTATCTGCATAGTGGTTGTATTCTGTTCCATGCCTGGGTTGTCTTCCCAGGACTGACAATAATATTGAACAATAGTGGTGCTAACATTGAGTCTTTTGGCATCCCAGTGTGGAATGAGTTTATTTTGGGACAGCGAAAAACCATCACTATCGGCTGTGAATGTGTCTTGAGAAAGAATGAGATCCATTGAGAAGGATGATTTACCATTTATCTCCTTAACATACTATGAACACTAATGACATATGAACAGCAATGGCAGTAGACAGAAAACAGAGAATGGAGTCAGCGCTAATATATCAAAAAGAGATACAAGGGGCAGCAATCCCAAACAAGGACTCCCTCAAGTGACCTTGGAATAAATACAGAAAACAAACAAATAGAAGGATGGGACTGCGCCAATAGACAAAAATAAAAAGTCCTAATTGGAATATGGAAATAAAGTCCAATGTAATAAAACTTGGTATTATGTTCGTCTCTGTAGTTGTGGAATTTTGCTCCTTCCTGGTATGTGGAGGAGGGTGATGGTTGATGAGATGGTAGAGAATGATCCAACGGGTATCCAAATAAAAAAGAAGAGATAAAACTCACTTTTAGTAGAGCTTAATCCAGCTCTGGTATGGATAGCTTGCAGCAGTATTATCCCCGCTTGTAGGATATACAGTGAGCTTCCTCTTCAGTGTGATGAACGGCAACCAGGGGGAAGATAAAACGAAAAAGCAGTGATAGTGCAATATGTCCCAAAAAGTTGATAAAAAGGTATAAAAATATAATAGATACACTCACATTTAATAGAGCTTATACTAGCTCTAGTATAGTAGGCATGCAACGGTATGATCCCCGTATCTGGGATATGCGGTGAGCGGTCGTTAAAACAGTTCTTTAAGATGGTAACAGGAGCTCAGGAAGAAGATAATAAAACAGCAATAGTGCTCTCAGTAAAATAATGCTGGATAATAAAATAAAATATACTCACAATATATAGGGCAGGCTAACTGCTCTAGGGTATAGGCACGGGTGGTATGATCCCCACCTCAGGATTCGTTGGAGTATAGGAGACAATAGATAAAAAACAATAGATAAAAAGCCAGGTAGTTAAAAAATAAAAATAAATAAAAGATAGTGGTGCAAGAGAATAAAATGACCAAAATCTATTTATTAACAGTAATTAAAAAAAATTTGTACAATATCCAAACGCGTTTCACCAATGTAGGCTTTATCAATGGATTAAAAACATGTTAACCTGGCTTATTAGGGTTTATATAGGCTTAGAGTAACTTTGAAAGTTGCGCCAAAACTGCTCTGACCAATCACAGAGCAGATTGTAATTACTCATATAAAACAGTAAAAAAAAACATATTAAATACATAAATATAACTGATAGGATTTAAAATATATAATTATGGTATAAAAACGAGGTTTGTGTAAAGAAATATAATTACTATTTCCTGAATCATGTGACGCGCATCATAAGCGCGACGTCACTTCCGGTCGCTTGGTATGCTGGGGCATGTAGTTGTATCTTACACTACATGCCCAAGCTGTCTACCGAGGGGGTTTTAGAGCCATATGATAGGCTCAAGAGGGGGGAATAACTGTGGACCAGAGGGGAGAGGAAGGGAGAGGGAGGGAAATAGCCGAAAAACGGCTAGGTAAAGGGAAAGTGAGGGCGCGGCGGCCATCTTGGTTGGGGAATGGTTAACATTAGGGTATGGAAGAAACATAGCGGCGGCCATATTGGAGGGGGCAGAAAACCATATATACTTTAAATGGACATATTTCTATAAAGAACATGTAACTTAAAACTTATAATGAAATAAGGTATAATGCTAGTCAACAAAAAGTTATTAAGGAAATAAAATAGGTCTAAAAGTATAAAAAAGTGCATATATATAAAAAAGCAGACAGTGATGAATAGTAAAAATACAATATTATATAAAATTGAATAAATCAAAATCAGCATTTAAACCATTTGGAGTTAGGGTTTTTAAATTAAAAACCCATTCCATTTCACATTTTCCCAGAATATTTTTTATATTACCTCCTCTCCATGGAATAGTGCATTTTTTTATACCAATACATTTTAAATGGCGTGGATCGTTATTATGGATAGAAAAATGTTTAGATACGGTGTGGTTTTGGTATCCATTTGTAATGTTACGACAGTGTTTGCCTAATCTTGTTTTTAAGCTCCTAGTGGTCATGCCAACGTACTGCAAACCACATGGGCATTCCAGGAGATAAATTACATTCTTAGATGCACAAGTAATAAAATCTTTAATATTATATATTTTGTTGGTTTTATTTGATTTAAATTGTGTAGTTTTTGTTTTGGTAGATAGATAGTAGACAGGTCTGGCATTATAAGCATATACAAATGGCATCCATACATTGTGGAGATTAGCAACACAGACCAGCAGTCTCTGATCATGTTTGGTCCAAGAACCCAAATGAGCAATATCAGAAATACTAGTTATTTGCTACAGCTCTTCGACTATGTCACATTTTGTGTGTGTGTGTGTGTGTGTGTGTGTGTATATATAATTTCAAATAACACTTTTTTTTCCCCCCTGAAATATACAGGTACATGAGAAATTTCTGAAAAAAAGAGTAATTTGAGATTTGGCTGCCTATTATTTATCAAAATCTAGCCCTTGCAGAAAGGATACTTTATCTACACTTTACTTGCTGGAACATGGGTTACATTCCTTTATTATTTTCAAATATTATTTATTGAAAAGTTTAAAATTTTTACAATATACAATATTTAAATATTCAAAAGCAGGTACAGTAATAATTATATAATTACAGCATTATATTATTATTTTGTATATATTTAACAATGATCTCATTTAAATCCTTGTTTGCCCTACTGTCACAGACTGCAAGCCCATTTCGAGCACCTATATTGCAGTATACTGTGCAGACTGCTTTTTGAAATATTAGCAATGCTTACTTGATGCCAATTGATCTTTATTACTACAGTGGCCTTTTCTCAGAGCAGGAGTCCTGTCTTGTGTGTTTTATATTTGTACATTTGCCTTTAAGCATGGATAATCCTTTGTGTATTTCTCCTGATTCGTGTGGACATGATGTATAAAACAGTCAGTGGTACCCTTGCTAGACTTCAGAAAACACATCACCATGCTCCTTCAACTTTAAGGGTGTGATCACCGCAAGTCTGTATGTATCAATCTCAACTGTCAAAGACTGGACTCCAAGAAAAAAACAAAAAAAACAAGCCCTGTAATACATGTAACGTTTCAGAACTATCTTAAATCTGGATATCTTTGCATATTACAGCAGATGATAAGGAAAGTGACATATGCCGATAGGACACGCAATCAGTTGTCAAGTGTAATATACTATGTCCCACTTGCACAATCTAACTTTTCTAATGCCTAGTCTAATTTCATTGAAAAATATTACAGACCTGGAACTGTTTGAAAGATTCCGAGCCATTATTGCTGCTGAGAAAGAGAGGAGACCTGTAAGATATCTTGTAAAAGAATGGATCTTTTTTAATGAATTAAATTAGGTGGTCATCTCCCTTTTCAAGGGCTTTATTCACCTAAACATGCACACTTGATAAGGGTGTTGTTGATAACCAAGAGATAAAACATATAATAATAAGTGAACTCTACTTTAAACTACCGTAACTTTAAAACACATAAAAGTTTTAAACCAACATAAGTTAAATGGAAATAATGGTTATTTAGTTACATTTATTTTTATATAGTTTTTTCATTTTTAAACCTGCTTTACCAATTTCTGTATTTCAGTTTCTTTATATTCTAGTTGCTTTGTTATATATTCTTTGAGTACATTTAAAAATATATTTACTGTGTAGCCTTGAACGTAATGTGACCATTTAGTAAAAGCAAAGGATTATATTAGGTATTGAAAAAAGAACAGCATGTTCTGCTTGTTTCCTTGAGGCTATAGAAAGGCAATCTCTCCGTAACCGACATGTTTCGGGCTAGGTATGTCTCATATTATTTAAATGGAATGTTTGGAGCAACATCTTCCTAAAAACCTCACATATTGTACTTTTAACTCTATAGATTCTAAGTTAGATTTCATTGCACTTTTGTCAAATGTACTTTATATGTTTTTGAACAGATTTTGTTTAAAATAAATTCAGCAAGTGATATCTCTACAGTAACATGAATATTTTTTTTGATAATTAACTTTGAAAAAAATGATCTGAATGAAAATCATGAGTTTTCTGGAAATTATACTATTGACTAAAACATTGAAATACTTTGAAGTCACTGTTCCCCTTCTTGACCGATGATGTCATTATTCTGTCATGATAGCCCGTTTTTTAAAGGACCCATTGTGGAATAATTATGTTTCGCTGTTGGTACTAAGGAACCTCAGGCATCACCCAATATTTTGTGCTACCCTTTTTCAAGTGGGGCCATTATTAGTGGCCCATAAATGACAGTGAGCTATGTGCAACGCTCAAAGTGAGCATTGCACGCAGCCCTTTAATCTTCCATGGCTGAACTTCCGTATTCAGCTATGACCCAGTGACGTCATTACTGATGTCACCAAAGTTTCTTATCAGAAGGCCTGATCAGGTCTTCCTGCACCTGTTGCAGAGGATAATCCATGTTTGGTTGTGCATGCCTCTTCATGGGTGATTTAAGTCAGTGACTACAAAATTCACTAAGAAGGTGACAAGTAAAGAACCTTCTAGTTACCAAGCGGCTAGAGAGGCTTAATCTATGAGACCACCGAGCGTTGTTGTGTTGACTGTGACAGATATATATATATATATATATATATATATATATTTCTTTTTTTTTTGCAAAATGCTAACTGTGATTTGGGCCATAGGGTGACTTTCTTCAGAGTATAAATATGGGTGATGGCCTTGTGAGACCACCATCATTAGACATAGAAGGCCTGGAAGGCTATGCTACTCATCAACCTATAACCAGTACATCTATCCCTACTTCAGTGACGTAACGAGGGGCAATTTTTTGAAATGTGTGAAGAAAAGGAGTTGACAATTACCTACTAATAATAGACATGGGTGAAGTAATCCCAGTATAACATGATACGTGTGACTTAGACCTACCCAATGGGGAAAAAGCAAGCTAAAAGAGCCAAAATAGTGTGTGTGTGTGGTAAAGTACGCATAGAAGAGTGCTAATAGAGAAGAGAGGATTATATTACCTTCCTTATACAGACAGACTTTAAAAATGAGACTGCTGGGCCACTATGACAGTGAGTACCTACTGAATGAAGGGGGAATATGAGTGAGTATCTAGACTGGCACAATAACTCTTTCCAGGAACACCTACCTTGCAAAATATAGAAGAGGTTTTATATATAAGAAAGTCCCTGAGCGTCACAGAAATAGTGAGAACCTAGTAATATGAGGAAAGTGTATGGTAAACATAAGATCGAAGCTCGCTTAAGTGTAGAGAAATCATGCCTAATGAAACATAAATCTAGTTACCGTTAACAATACACAACCTTTAGAAATCTACCCCCCAACCTTACTTAAGGCGGCACTGTCATGCCGAACTTACCTTTCTTTAATTGATTGCTCTTCTCTCCCTCTGTCAGGATCTGTTCTTCATTTCTTCCTGTCTGCTCTCGTTTTCTTTAAAACATAAGACAAAGTAGGGACTACTTTGTCTTATGGAGGTTTCCTACGCCTGACCAGCTGTGACAAACGGAGGAGCAAAGTGTGCTTCATTTCCGGTGGTCAGAGCAATTTTCCCACAGTTCTCACCTTTCCTCCGTCATCTCGCGATGCTTCCTGTCAGTATTCCCGAACGTCCTGTCACTTAGACAGAACGCCGGTGAAACTACCGAATTTCGTCCTAACAGAATGAGAATAGTTTCTCCATTCGTGTTAGGAAGCATTTCGGGACATTGTTCGGATCGGAATTTCATTTGAATGAATGAAACTCCGATCCTATTCGTGCCACAGCTGCATCTTGCAGCCGCTTAGTAGATAGCTCCCCAATTCCCACGGTATCATGGAGCTATCTGCCAAAAGGCTGAAAGACCTAAATTGGTCTTTCAGCCAAATTTACTAATACTATGTAAAGATTACTTAGTATTAGTAAATTCTGCCCCTACTTGCTATCATGTCTATTAAACAGTGAGCAGCCTGTGAGTCTTTTCTCTTGCCCATTTTTCCTGAATTTAACACATGAAATTCAAAAACTGTTCACTTGCTCCCTAATATATCACACCCATTTACAGGTGCCATTGCAACAATATAATGTTATTCACTTCCCCTGTCAGTGTTTTTAATACTGTTGCTGATTAGTGTGTGCATGTTTGTGTTTTTGTATGCAAGTATTTATGTGTATCTCATAATGAAATGTGCCACACACTTATGTGTTTTTGTATGCAAGTAATTCTTGCATTAAGGAATTTCTTTTATTGCAGGACTTTGATTAAAATAATTTTCTGTGTTTTATATGTACAGTGATGCAAATATATCTTACAAAAAAGTACGCTTTTAATGTTGTGCTCATTTAAAAGCCACGTTTTGTATTTAATTTGTTTTTTTTATTTCTGACATTTTTCCCGTTGGGGGTTTGTTAGGAAAATCCAATAATGTATGCTGTGAGCATGTTTCACAGTAAATATGTGCATTTGCAGAAGCACTACGCAAGGTGAAAAAATTCCAACCTACATGGTTTTTAAATTGAAGTGGAAAAATACTGCTCAGGGGAAGCTAGAAAATCCAAAATAGGTCGGTACTATAATAGAATTGTCAGTTTAAACTAAAAGGAAAGTGACATTTAAAAAAAAAAATCGACGTCGTGGACGAAAAAGTTTGGCTACAGATACAAAAAAAAAAATGCATTGTTCAAAACTTTGGAAATAGGGCATCTAATGCACTGAAGGAAAGCAATATGTTACTAGTTTAAGGAGAATAAGTGGAACTTTTATATAAAATTCAATGCTTCCTTTTGCAGTTAACATATGCACGGAGCTTTTTAAAGTGCCGCTGCCATCCCAAACTTAATTATTCTCTAATCGTTTTCCTTTATCTTCCCCTGACAGAATCTGTTCTTCTACTTTTCTTAATTTCTGATCTATTTCTCTTTACAAATATAAGGCAACGTAAGGACTACTTTGCCCTATGTATATTTCCTCCACTTGACAGAGTAGAGATTAAAGGAACACTGTAGGCACTTTAACTGCTTCAATCATTAAAGTGGCTACATTGTCTGCAGTCCCCTGGTGCCATCCTTTAATTTTTTCATCCAGTGTTAAACTGTTTTAAATATTTTAATAGTGCATGAGAGTCCCCAGTAGCTGGTCCTTGTGAGGAAGTATGAGCCTAAGCAACAATGGGCAGCTGTGATTGGTTGAGAGTGTCAGCTGACCAATAAGGACTTGTAGAGTTGGGAGGGGGGCGGTGGCACAAGGTCACATCAGTGCCACTTCAAGACCAGCTTTTTATGTTTTTTGGCTTAAGTAAGTATTGTCATATTTGTGCCAAAAAATTGATTAACACTTGGGTGAGGGGCCTATTTTACATACATTTTCTTTCATTCTTTGTATTTGCTACCAATTGGTGAACTTTAAACTGCGAGTGAGAGACTGTGGCGGATCTACCACGGTGACAGGAGGCCCAGCTACCCTGTCAACCCTCTGCTTAGTGGCAGAGCTACAGGGATCGCTGAGGCCTTATATGCAACCATGCCCTCCGCATTCTGCTTGTCGGAGGTGGCCGACTGACCACCATAGGGCCCTGCAAGTCCGGGGAATATCCACTACAGGTAGGCACCTGCTTAACTGGACGGTAGGAGCCTACTCTGGCGAAATGTATGCATCCAGGGGGGAGATAGAGGCGGCGTCAAGGGAGCACTGATGTACCTGCTCTTCGCCATGTTTCAGACATCGCACTGCATTTCTGCAGGTACCTTTAGCAATGTACACACAGATTTTTTAAATAAAGAATATAGGTGTATGAATGACAATTGCTTGCATGTGAGAAAGGCGTTTGGAAACTTTAAAAATATATACTTTCTCAAAAGACTAAAGTGGTATTCTAATCTACTTGCCCATGGGCATAGAGTCTCAATCTCTGGCCCCTATCTTCTTTCCCTCAGTCTCCCATCCCATCCCCCAGGTAGTGTGATGTGTGTACTGGCAGGGTGTAGTGTGTGTTGTTTAGTATGTATGTGTGCTGGCTTGTGTATTGTGTGCTGACTGTATGGAGGAAAAATGGAAAAGCAAAATGATTTTTCATAAGGGCCAATTAGAGATGGTTAGATGACTGGGTCAGAGCATCTCCAAAATGGCAAGTCTTATGGAGAGTTCCCGGTTTGCAGTGGTTAATAACAACCAACTCTTTGATGCACTTGGAGAGCAAAGGCTAGCCGTATGGTCTGATCACACAGAAGAGCTTTTGTAGCTAAGATTGATGAAACTTAATGCTGGTCATAATAGAAAGGTGTCAGAACTCATGGTGCATAAGAGTTTGCTGTGTATGGGGATGCATAGCCGCAGATCGGTTAGAGTGCCAATGATGACTTCTGTCCACTGCCGAAAGCACCTTCAGTGTAGTTGTCAGTGTCAGAACTGAACCATGGAGTAATGGAAGAAGGTTGCCTTGTCTGAAGAATCATGTATTTTTTTTTTTTAAATAAATAAAATAAATCAGATTGCTGTGTGTCATTTATCTGGGAAAGAAATAGTAACAGTATGCACTATGGAAAGAAGGCCGGCAGAGTCCGTGTTCTGCTGGGAAACCTTGGGTCCTGGCTTTCATTTGTGGCATTTGACATGTGCCACCTATCTAGAGATTGTTACAAACCACATATCTCCCTTCATGGCAATGGTGTTTCCGGATAGCAGTGGCCTCTTTTAGCAGGATAATGCACATTGGCACACTGCAAACATTGTTCTGGAATGGTTTGGGGAACATGACAAAGAGTTCCAGGTGTTGTCTTGTCCTCCAAATTCCCCAGATCTGAATCCGATTGAGCATCTTTGTAATGTGCTGGAACAACAGATCTGATCCATGGAGTCTTCACCTTGCAACTTGCAGGACTTGTGCCAGACACAACAGGACACATTCACAAGTCTTGGGGACGCATCAGAGCTCTTTTGCCTCTACACAATATAATGCAGGTGGTTTTAATGTGCTTGCTGGAGTTTTAGAACGCAGTTCAGTGATACATTCTACTCACATGAACACTTTTGAAAATGTGAGTGGGATGATTGCTTTATACTTCAGTTTTTAATGCATATAATAAAAAGTATTATAACAGTAGGATATAGCTAATATTAGAATGAATAACAAGTAAAGCTGTGAAAGTGACCGTGCCAATCCAGATTGTAATACGGCAGAGCTGTGCTGATTTTGCAAAAGAACGGGAGAAAAGATTGTTATTCTGTCATTTCACATTCCGGAGTCTTAATATAGCCATCAGGATATGAATTGCACTTTTGTTCTCCACACCAAGATATTTACAAATTGCAAATGGGTACAAAGACAGATGATGAAGTTAATCATGAGGATGATTTATGGGCAAAGGGTAGCACAATATAATTTTGTCTGTATAGGAAAAATTGAATTGCAGAACCTAAGTTAATTGCAGAAGTAAAAATCGCAGGAAAAAAAGGAAAATACCCAACCCTCTGCTGCTCCTCTGGGAATGAAATCACAACATCAGCTTTCATATTTATTTTCTACAGAGGAAGGAAATATACAAACAAACTTGAAAGAAAATAAAGATAGATCAAGCTCACAGGTGCTTAATTCGTTATTTCTTTACAATGTTTAAATAAAACTGGTAGATTACTGGCAGGAAATGGCCCGAAAAGGCATTAGAAAACTGGCAAACCTTCAGAGAAATGCAATAAAATTAGAAAAAGGAATTGCATTATGAAGAAAAATTGGATAATCTGTTTTTATTTTATTGAAGCAGTACACAAACCATTATTATTGTTCAGTTGCACTGACCATGTTGACTTACCTTGTAATCAGAAAAAATCCAATGAAATCTTCTTGATCATATAAGCCACGCATGTCAAACTCGCGGCCCACAATGAATATTTTTGTGGCCCAGTGAGGCGCACGTTTGCCATGCTTACTAAAGCAGAGCATTTAAACTGGAGCAAAATATATATATTTTTTAATTAATAAATTTAAAGTCCAGCCTTATAGCATATTACTGTGGACTTATCTTTTAAATTAAAATGATTTACAAGTATGTGATTAAAAGTGAATGTAATACGTTTTGTGAGAGAAGTTGATCACATATCAGTAATACTATTTGTAATATACTGAACTTTGATTAAATTCAGTGCATGGGCTTTATAAAACAGTGGATCTGTTACGTTTCAGGGTTTTTGAATATTCTGTAAAGACCTCCCTTCCCCCAAGGTGACCTCTCCAGGTAGGATCAAGTGATCCACGGGTGCAGTGACAAGTCGGTTTTACTAACCTTAAGCTGTCTTTCTCAGCCGCTGCCATTTTCTTAATTTAAGGCTTTTTGTCTGGAGCAGCTTCCATACTGTACTCTTGCGAATGCACAGGAATACAATACTGAGGTCTATGGAGGGTCTATGAGGGTTTATTTCTGATGACTTTGTTGGGTAATCTAAAACAATTGCATAGTTTGTATACCCCTTTGAAGCTCTGTGAGTTTAAGTATTTCGGATTGTAAAGTCCCATTGAGTAATAAACCATTGTTCTCGTTACCCTTGTACACCTACAGCTCACAAATTAAACTGTAGATAAGTATTCCTCCTGTTTACTTTTAAGGTTACAAAACACAAAGTTCCTTTGACCTGTGTTGAAACAGCCTTACGTAATGTCCAAGCCAGTCTACCAACATCCATATTGTTTTCTGGATATTAGAATTTCATACTTTTCCAAATAGCACAACAACTTAAAGGTAGGCAGACAATGTAATAGAGCAGCAGGAAATGCTAGCAGAATGCTTAGTTGTATAGGGAGAGGTATTAGCAGTAGAAAGAGGGAAGTGCTCATGCCATTGTACAGAACACTGGTGAGACCTCACTTGGAGTTTTGTACGCAGTACTGGAGACCGTATCTCCAGAAGGATATTGATACTTTAGAGAGAGTTCAGAGAAGGGCTACTAAACTGGTTCATAGAGATGAGATGGGGGGATATGATAGAAAATTTAAATACATTAAGGGAATCAACACAGTAAAAGAGGAGACTATATTTAAAAGAAGAAAAACTACCACAACAAGAGGACATAGTCTTAAATGAGAGGGACAAAGGTTTAAAAATAATATCAGGAAGTATTACTTTACTGAGAGGCTAGTGGATGCATGGAATAGCCTTCCAGCTGAAATGGGAGAGGTTAACTCGGTAAAGGAGTTTAAGCATGAGTGGGATATTCATAAGGCTATCCTAACTATAGGATAAGGCCAGGGACTAATGAAAGTATTTAGAAAATTGGGCAGACTAGATGGGCCGAATGGTTCTTATCTGCCGTCACATTCTATGTTTCTATGTCTGGCAAGACCTTGGTAGCTGTATAGTTGGTGTCTGGCAATGAGCAAGATCATCAATGAATCCTGGGATACTAGACAAGTTGGCGGCACGGATCCGCCTTTTGTCAACCTCAGATTTACCAATGTCTTATTTAGTTTTTGGATTGCATTGAACTTTGAATATACCAATGTTTATATTTTTTTGGTCCCAAAATGTCTGTACTTACTCTTTGGTCACTGATTATGATTTCAAATCCAGCTGTGTATTAATTGGATGAATGCAAAAAGCTTTGTTTTTGTTTTTTAGCGGTGTTCAAGCATGGTGCGTTAATGAATACGGCAAAATGATCTTAAGAACTTGTCATTTCAGCTTATGATCGTGATATACACCTGTAATATCTCTTTTTTTAAAACCTGACTTTACCTTTACCAGAGAAATAAACTTGAACTATTTTATTTTTATATTTAAACTTGATAGGGCAATGGGTAGCAAAACATCCAAAACTGACAAAGTTTAAAAAAAAAAAGTCAAATCTAAATAAGGGAATATTTATGACCTTTTATACAGAGCTTCCAAACATGCTTTGCTTGTATACAATGCAGTGTTTGACTGTTTCTTTACTGAGCCCACAAGGGAATTTCGTTTGAGCACATTGTGTCTGCTTGTTTTAAGTAGTAAGACTGAAATTTGAAATAAGACTCACACTGCATGAACTGGCAACATGTTTTGGCAGGACACATTGGAAGTCTGACTGTGTGTTACTGATTTGTGGTGATATGCACTCCCACCTATGATATATGCTCCCACCTATCTATCCTCCCTTATACACAAGTATGTCTCGTCTAGGCCCTTAAGATCTGCTGAAGACTTACGTCTATCTTCTGTCCGTACTCCCACCTCTGATGCTCGCCTTCAAGATTTCTTGAGGGCTGCACCGTTCCTGTGGAACTCGCTTCCCTCCTCCGTTAGATGCTCACCCAGTCTCCACTCCTTCAAAAAATCGTTAAAAACCCACTTCTTCATTAAAGCGTATTAATTAAACTGTTAATAGCTCCTGACTGATTCCTCTTCTGCAACTGTCACTAGTCTAATACTATCCTTACCTCTTTGTGTCATTTCACCCCACTCCCTCTAGCATGTAAGCTCATTGAGCAGGGCCCTCAACCCCTCTGTTCCTGTGTGTCCAACTTGTCTGGTTACAACTACATGTCTGTTCGTCTACCCATTGTAAAGCGCTGCGGAATTTGACGGCGCTCTATAAATATTAGAATAATAATATACACATTAAGAGATTGGCTATGATTCCTAAAGAAAGTCAATGCTGGGTGGCAGGTGAACAAATGCTTGTGCAGAAAAGAACGTTTTAGGAGATATGTTATTGTATCCATTAGTTACAAAGGCTGAAAAGAGACGTGTCCATCGAGTTCCATCTTCATCACATTTGTTTTCAGCTGTTACAGAGTGACACCCATGAAGTTTAGCAATTTGCAGCGCTGGAACAGAGGTAAGGTGAGTAAATCACAATATTTAACTAAAAAAAAATATGAAATATGATGTATTTATTGTATTTGGGAGATTTAGCTAAAGTTTGAAAGCACATAACACGTTCACTTGAAACTTTTCCCAAACAATTTGGCAAAAAAACAGGAGACCATGCTGATAAGCTCTTGACACCATAACAACTGCAAAGAGCGGTAGTGCCTTTGATGTTTATAAACTGCCTCTTTAACGTATCTTGTATTTTCCATCTTATTAACCCATAGGAGAAACAATTGCAAATCTCTAGGAAAACCTCCATAATTGTAGTGTGCTAGACAGCTTGATGGAATTACATTTTATTTTTCTTCAAAATTATAAATAAATCGTTCTCATTAAATGGTTGTGTTTTCTGAAAGTAAATTAACTAATTTAGCTTTGTTTCTTTTATGTCTGATTCTTAAATGTGCCGCTAGGTTAATTTCCTTGCTTCTTTGTTACTCTATTTCTTCTGTGAATTCTAACGACTATTTTGATTTACAAAAAAATAGCTCCAAGAAGTACAAAATAAAATTATAGTTGTTTATGTTTTAATTAAAAATTGGTAATGTGCAGGTAATTTTGGGGGGAAAAAAACAATCATATAAGTGACTTTAAAAGAAAATATTGCATTGATTAAAGGGATACTCCATTGTCCAAATACAAAATCTATAAAAATCCCTGTTTAGTATATAAACCCTAAATGAAAACGTGCATATATATTATGCTTTTTTCATTGCGGTTATATCTAAAAACCAGCTTGCAAATCTCTTGTCTGCTGTTTTTTTTCTAAATTTATTCAACTGTTCAGTAAATGAAAACTCGTTATTTTTTCATTTTTATAGTTATACTTGACAGTTGAGTCTGGGAAGTAATAAAAGTAACCTTTAGACAATGATAATGAACAGGGAAAAGGTTGGCAATTCCATAAGGTATTTGGTGTGAGAGATACACATAACAGTAAGTAAACAGTAGTAGTTCTGGTTAACAGAGGTTGATCAGTGCCAGGGCCGCCATCAGGGGGTGACAACCATGATGGTTGTCACGGGTCCGGCGGTCCTGGGGGGCCCAGACCCGGGCCCAACTTTCCCTTTCTGCACACATAGATAGCGAATATCTCTATGTGTGCAGCCGCGGGCCCCCGGCTCCCTGTTATCGCAGAGGGGGCCCAGCACACTGCCTCTACTCTTCTCTTCTCCTCTCTTCTAATAACTCTTGCGAGACTTGTGGCCTTCTGAGCGTTGCCATGGCGTTGCCTGCTAATGGGCCTGCAATCCTGCTAGGCCTCAGGGCCATATAATATGATAAGCTTGCAAATGTTATTATTTTGGGACCCTTTGTTCAATACATGTTTGATACATTTGTACGCCATATAATAGATTTAGCTGAAGCTCAGCAAAGGTGCATTCGTGAGAACAGTATATTGTTTTAAGGGCTACAATAATTATTTAAAGGAGCACTATAGGGTCAGGTACACAAACTTGTATTCCTGACCCTATAGGGTTAAAACCACCATCTAGCCCCAGTTTCCTTCATGCTTCCCTAAAAGTAGTAAAATCTTACTTGTATTCAAGCCTGAAGCTGCCTGAAGGGGCTTTGTCCCTGTTTCCTTTTGGCCTGCCCAGTGCCTGCTGACATCATCAGAAGTGGTGGCCTGATCCAATCACAGTACTTCACCATAGGATTGGCTGAGAATGACAAGGAGGCAGATCAGGGGCAGAGCCAGCATGATTCAAACACAGCCCTGGCCAATCAGCATCTCTTCATAGAGATGCATTGAATAATACTGAAGGAGATACTGAATGTTTGGATGCATTTTAGGCAGTCATGACCCAGGAAGGATCTTAAACAGCCATCTGAGGAGTGGCCAGTGAAGTTATCACTAGGCTGTAATGTAAACACTGCATTTTCTCTGAAAATACAGTGTTTACAGCAAAAAGCCTGAAGGTAATGATTCTACTCACCAGAACAAATTCAATAAGCTGTAGTTGTTCTGGTGACTATAGTGCCCCTTTAAATGGTGACTAACTGCACCTTTAAAGAGAATAATTTCAATATGCAGTTAGTTTCAGACTAGTACTATATTGTTCTACACACAGTATAAACTTAAACAATAAAGAGAAGATACTTTATATCACCCAGGTAAACCCTTAAGAAAAAGGTTTTCCCTTTCCAAAAGTGTAAGCCATTTGTTGGGTATAACCACTATAAAAAGTGACGTAAAAGACATAAAGTGCCCTTAAGAGGAGACGCAGCCTCTCAATATATACCATTAAGAGAGATCAGGGTTTATACCCTGTAATTGGATTGGTATTGGCACAGTTGTACCATAGGGCAAAGTTCCCAGACTTCTCCTTTACCCCATATTTCAACATATTTTTAATGTTCTTTTCAATAGTTCAATGAAAGTACCTATTGGATTTAATTGAGAGTCTGACCTTTCTTTTTCTAAATGCCTGATTTATGCATTGGCCTATCTCCTTAGTAAGTCAATCTTTAACCAAAGATCCCACACGGTTGTGTTTTTGCCCACCCTTCTCCCCCCTTAAATCTGTTTATTGTCTCTTCTGTACTTTAACATAACTTTTTTCTGTAATATCACCTTATTCCAGACTGCCTAGTGAAACGATTACATTGCAGACTTTAATATGACCTTATGAAAAAAACACTGCACTCAGAATATTGCTAAGTCAACCACGCTTTCTTTTGAAATATTGCTAAGGATAATGCTAATATCAAAATCCAAGACCTCTTCTATTCTGTGCAGCTTATATGTGCATAGTAATAATGTTGTGTATAACAAATCTGTCTCCTGATTTGTTATTCTATTATGAGTAATACTTGGCAAGGACAATAATAAGAAACAAAATAGGCAACAAATCTTTTTTTAAGAAGGATTAAAAAAAATAAAAAAAAGTACTTCAATTAATCTTTTTTATTTTGTATTCTACTTTTTTTCTATGTGTGTCTGAAGGGAGCTGTGTGTGTAGTGTTTGTGTTTGTGAGGGGGCAGTGTGGGTAAGAGGTCCAGTGTGGGGGGGTACTGTGCATGTGTGAGGGATGCTATGTGTGAAGGGGGCAGCGCATGTGAGGGGTGGAGTGTGTGTGAGGGGTGGAGTAAGTATTTGTGTGTGAAGGGTGGATACAGTCTATGCTGTGTGTATGTGGGTGAGATGTGAAAATCTATATTAATGTCTCCCCTCGCTTCTTTTTACCTTTTACCAGGGAGGGGGGACTTAATGCTGAAAGCCCTGGTGGTCCAGTGGTGGCATATTCGCTTCAGCCTGCAGCTCCTCCGGCTGCAGCCTGACTCTCCTGTTGTCCTGCGAGCACAGCACTGTATCGGAGCATTGCCATGGTAATGTGCGGCAATGCTCTGACCAGCCTGCTTGCTGGAGGAACACAGGGCCTTCCCTCCCTCCGCTCGATGAACTAAGTGCCAGAGGGTTGGTGAGGGAGATCTTTGATCTCCTAAACAGCACGAGAGGGCTTACAGCAAGATGAAAGGATCTCCCATGCCGGCCTTTGCCCACGGCCATCGAGGCCCACCCGGGCGTTTTCTGCAGAACCCACCACCGCCCACCTGAGATCCCAAACCACACAAGGTTGACTACCCTGGATATAGATGATCAATGCCTTCCTGAGCAGTGTTTTATCAATTGCTCCTTCACATTCTCTATAGATCTCAATACTCTTCTCAAACATGTTCTGGAGCCTCCAGTGATTTAGTTATTCTTTGCTTATCAGCTGTCTCAGTTTGCCTGAATAATTTTGCATGTTTCTATTTTATTTTTTTGCTGACAGTTTTAGCCGGGGGTTGTTTGGGGGTTTCCTTTAAGTAGTTGAAGGAAACTCCCAAACAACCCCTCGCTAGATTTTCACATCTCACCCACATACACACAGCATAGACTGTATCCACCCTTCACACACAAAAACATTTCCTTTAAGTAGTTGACAAATTACTTGCCCCCTCAACCCCCCGCCCCCCCCTTTTTTTTTTAATACAGATCTTCAACATTTGGTTTGTATTCTTCCATCTCAGCTTCCATTCTCTTCATTTTTTGGCACTGTTTATAGCCATCTAAATAAGCCTTTTTTTTTTTATTTTTTTAAGTACTTGGGATTTTTTTCAGAGGACTTTAACACAGTTTAGCAAGATGCTCATGAATCTACAATAATTATCCATGTAGGTGACAAGTGCTGACTCAAATAAAATGTGGAAGTCTGCATGTCTTCCAGGCAATGTTTATTAAGTTTAAGTCTGTGCCGTTTGGTGTGTAGTTTATCTAAAATAGCTCCAGGCTTGGAGAAACCACTCCATTCTGATATCTATTCTGATTCCAATTTATTAATGATGATGGAGTGTAGACAGACAGTGCAGAAGAAAAAGAAGCCCAAGTACATGAACCACGTTCCAGCATTTACAGCACCATTATGATGTGAACATAAGTGAGCAAGGAGAATTTGAAGAGAAGCTTTAGATTACTTTTTCTGAAAATTTTGGAATGTGAAATGATAGCGGAGATATGGAGAACATATCATGCAATTGGAGAGGCAAGCTACAAAGCAAACTGAAAACAAGCCGGGCAAGAGGAGGGGGTTGGCTGGGTGGGTTAGTGAAAATAAATATATATTATTTTTTTTTTACTGGGAGATGGACTGTTGTCAGATTGACCTCTAACTAGGGTGAATGGAAGGATGGATAAAACGTGAGTGGAGTTCAGTATAAATGGGCTATTTGTATGTTGTTGAGTAATGATGAATGTATTGATCACTATCACTATGGCCAAAAAAAATGCATATATAGGTAAATAGTGCTAGTCCATCAAATGCAACAAGCAGCAAAATGACTGTGCAGCTTACACAAACCCAGAAATCATACCGCAATCAGTGCACTGAGAATTATGGAAATTATAACCATGTATGGAAATGATTAGGGAAAGCACACATGAATAAATGTTATTGCAAGGGTAAAAGGCATAAGACTTTTGCATGCGTTTACTTCATTAAACTATTGTCATTTCAGGGTCATATAATAAAGATTTTTTTTCTTTCTTCTTCAAATTAATGCAATGTTGCAGATGTTAAAAAGGAAAAATGCTCCCTGCCTTATCTCTTTGTTTGGTACAAATTGATGTAATTTTATTCAACATTTTATATTTGTAACAGAAAGGGATTAATGAATGCCCAGCTAAGAATCCAGCTCTATTCTCACTATGTGGTTCATCCCCTTCAGTTTGCCACCTGGAACTTCCATGGGGATATCACACAGCAAGTGCTGCTCAACCAGCAGGCTGATTTCCAACTGATCATCTCTCTGAAGGCATTAGGACCTTTGCCACTGTCAAACATTTTCAGGGGAGATTAAGCACACTCACTGAAGTAATCTCTGGTCTTTTGTAGCAAAAAAAAAAGCATTAGAGTGTGGTTAAAAAATGTATTAACCCCCATGCAAATGTACATTTTGGAAACTAGACTGTTGGAGAACCAAGGAACATATTTTTAAAATACTCATAAAGAAGCATTGAGAGGCAATGCGCATGTGTGTCAATTATCATGCTTCACTTGCAATGCTTCTTTTTGAGAAGCATGGCCATCCACTTTGTACTGAAGCACAAAGCAATCCGGAAGAGCACCATCCCAGCTGTCTGACAAGATCGCAACTTAGAAACTTTATAAAAGCGCCAATTTCTCTTAACTCTTTTAACACTGATGGGTTTGAAGTTGTATATGAATTTTAATGCAATGGAGCAAATCAATATATAGTTTTTGGGCATGCTATCAGATATTTTATATATATAAAAAATGGTGTTCATGAAGCAGAGCTATTTTAATTTTGTATCGGCTGCTGTAATGCATTCAGATTTGCTTAACATCCTAGATGCTTGACAAGGGGAAGATTTTTTTAAATTTATTTATTTATTTATTTTTTTTGAGGATGTCACAAGTAACCCTTGTTGATCTTTGCCATAGGTCCTGCATTGTGATTGTGGTTCCCAAATGTAGAGCAAGGGTTGAATTGCAGCTGGTCACAAAAGTGCTTTTAAAAATCAGAAACCTGATTTTTAGTGCTTGGGCTCCCTGGTTTGTATTAGACAAAATTCTGCTAGGTCTTAAAAAACTAAAGCAAATAGCTTACGGGATGCCAAAACAGATTCTGAACAAATGCTGGTGTAAGTCCTCTTGATGTGGAATTTCAGTTGTTGAAAATATGTTCACTTTTGCCGATGTTTTCATTTTAACATATGGTCCCTAGCTGTGAAAAATGTTCATCAAAGACAAATAGAAAAACAGTTCAGTTCTGCAAAGTATAAATGGGTTTATGGCATAAAAAGAGAATGTTAAAAATTGCTTTTGTTTCTTTTACTATCACGTATACAGGCAGCGCATACAGAATATAAATGCTTATGCTTTTCAAACTACTGTCATTTGTAACAAATGTTGGAAGCCTATTTTTGTGCATTATTTATGTTTTATTTCTATCTGTACTGGCCTAATAGAAGACTGAATATATGCCATAGTACATCAAAGTTTAGAGTTAAAATAAACTGATTGTGTGTCGGTTTAGATGATGAGGCCCCCTCCAATCACATGGGAAATGTATTTTTATTCCCCCCTTTACCCACACCGTGCTGGTGACGCAGCGACTAGCCCCACCTCCTTGGCTGAGGTCCTCAATCTTGATGATCTCAGCCAATCCAATACTTCCCCATAGGAAAGCATTGGCAGACTATTGCGCATGTGCGGCAAAATGCCACTGTGCCAATCAACTTCTCCTCAAAGTGCACATTGAATCAATGCATCACCATAGGGAACATTAGCATAGTTGCTGCACAGTGTGAACCACTGACCTAGGAAGCATCTCAACTGGCCAATGAGTGACTGTCATTAGAGGTGTCACCAGGCAGCAATGTAAGCACTGCCCTTTGTCTGAAGACTCAGTGTTTATATTGAAAAGCATCCAGAGGCAGGAAATAGACTTCAGAACAACTAAATTAAGCTGTAGTGGTTCTTGTGACTATAGTGTCCCTGTAAGAATTGTATTTTTTTGCATTGAAAAACAGAACTCCTAACTTTTTTTTAGCTGGCTCCTAGATCCCAAGCAAATTTGTCAAGCCTTGCCCTAAGGTATGACTGGACGAACTGTAGATCCCCAAGTATTGTAGAACTGCAACTTCCATACTTTGCCATTCTGAAAGCTTGTAAAGCATCATGGCAGTTCAAGTTCTACAACATCTGGGGATATACTGTTTTCCCAGCCCTGCTATAAAGTATTGTAGGGTAAGTAAAGTTATCATCTAAATATTTTATATTGAATGCATCATTTAGCTCTATGATAAATTATGTATTCTTTGACTGTAGGGCACTTTCCATTAAAGTAAACCTGTCATGAAGGGTTCACTTTAAAGGAACACACTAAACATTATAACCACTATAGCTTTTGTTGTAGTTATGGTACAAGGAGTCTTCGGATGCAATTCATTTGCAAATTTTCGAGTAGTTTCTGGGCTCTCTTGGCACCCAAAGGTTGGCCTGACCCATTGTATGCTGCTCAGATGGACGTTTTTCTGCTTGATCCATCCAAACTTTGATGGCCGGGATAGGTTGTAAGGACTAGGAAAGTTAGGTAATGTTGAACTCCATATTCTTGTGTCTGTTTGAGGAAGATTTGATCATTCCATTCTTCCAGTTTCATTAAAAGAATACTACCGTTATTTTTGTTCTTTCATTTAAGTTTAAGGCAGCTCTCCAATGTATGTAAATATAAATTCTTTATGAAATACTCATAGACTACACAATCAAAATATGTAATAAGACAAGCTTGATGTTGACCAAGACATAACTTTATCAATTTCCATAGCTGTCACTATCGTGGGCTATGGAAAACAGGCATGTTCTCATGTGTTGTGGCATTAGGTCTACAGAGGGTCCTTATCGGACCTTTCATAGACCTCTGTGCTGTAGTTAGATAATTACATACAACATACAATTCTTAGATTCATTGAGAGGTCTTTTTGGTCCATTGTTTATCATGGAAACATCACATAATAAACATACAGATTGACTTTGCTATTCTTCCAGAATGTATTGCATGCTATGCAATGTGTGCAAAAAAATCCACCACCACTAGTATGCTCTTCTGAAGAGCCGTATAATATAATAGTTTAACAGTACAGTGCATACTGTTTATGAGGGAACATATAAGACACATTCATTTTAATATTTCATATGTCCAAATAATGAACATTTCTCTTCTATTTATAAGATTCTGTATGCACATAAAATATATAAAGGATGTTTTGGGTTTTTTTTCACCCTGGAATCTTTTTTTATTTTTGAAGGTGCTTTCTAAGCTCCATAACCACTAACAGTATGCATATGAAAGCAAGGTATTAATAAAAGCAATGAAAGCAATGTATGAAAGCAATGTATTAATAATCACTTTGAAGGACCACTATTGTGCCAGGAAAACAAACTAATTTTCCTGGCTCTATAGGGTCTTTGGGTCCCCCATGCCCTCAGGGTCCCCCTCCTGCCGGGATGAAGGGGGAGGAAGGGGTTAAACTCTTACCTTTCTCCAGGGACTCTCCTACCTCTTCCGACATCATCCACCGAAAGCGCATGTGCGGCAGGACCCCCCCCCGCGCGCATTCAATCAGTACATAGGAAAGCATTTCTCAATGCTTTCGTATGGACACTGGCGTCTTCTCACTGTGAAAATCATAGTGAGAAGTGCGGAAGTGCCTCTAGCGGCTGTTAATGAGACAGCCGCTAGAGGCTGGATTAAGAGAAACTGCTATGTTTTTAGCTGCAGGGTTAACCCTAGATGGACCTGGCACCCAGACCACTTCATTGAGCTGAAGTGGTCTGGGTGCCTGTAGTGGTCCTTTAAGCTACCTTAAAAGACAAAATGGATAAGCAGCGCAGAGCCAGATTAAGATTGACTAGGGCTCTAGGCAGCATGCCAGTTTATGGCCATCTCCTAAAGCCCTGGGCTCTGTTTCTGTGAGTTTTGTGTGTGGTGGCAGAGTATTGTTTGTGTGGACTAGGCTGAGTGTGTTGGGAAAATTTTTAACTTGTCCCCTCCTTCCAAAAGGTAAGCAGTAGTATAACCCCTGAAGGTTTGTGAGTTGAGGAGCTGCATCCCGTTCCAGTGGGGGGAGCATTGTGGTCTGCACCTCCAGCAGGTGCAGATTACTTGAAGAGCTTTTGCAGGGTCCCAGCACTCAGTCAATGAGTTATTGAGAAGTGCCATAGGAACCGCAAGGGAGCTCTTAAAGTGATCTACACTCAATAGAGTTGCAGATCAAGAAACTCACTTGAGGTAGGGAATAGGCAAAGGTTCAAGAAGAGAGAACACCTCCCCCCCCTCACAGACAGAGCCAGAGCTCCAGTCCCCACTGTGACCCTGCCTGGGCCCTAGGTACCATCTATGCTGCCTTACTGGTAATCCTGTTCTGAAGCAGTTGTTTGAACTTTCCTGAACTTGCACTGCTTAAATCTCTATGGTGAATCAGTAGTCCCCCAGGTGCTATAGAACTATAACACACATATTTCTTTGCTACTCTGGCAAAGTCTCATGACACAGGAAACTCCTGCTAAAATTTGTTGCGGTTTCATTTAAAAAACAAACAAAAAACGTTTATTTACTTTTCGTTATCCTTGTATTTATCATGGTTATTTTGCAAGAACCATAACAATGTATATTTGTACATATTGTGTAAGGTGGTCCCCTGTCACCTTTAGCCTCCATTAGGATTGCCAGTAACTGCTCCAATTTGCAATTATTATTTCAGCTGTAAGGTCCTTCTTTATGACATCATAGTCTTTTTACATCAGCTCCAGGTTTTGATCATAAAAAAAAAAAGACTGAGATTTCAGTTATATGGTAAGGTAACAAGCTTCATCTGACCTCTGTCTTCATGTATAGTGGCTTCATTCATGTATTTTCTTAATTGAAACTACTGCAAGTAATTTCTGAGTGTTGACGTACATATTGCACAAGCCCTTTCTGTGCAGAGGATTATAGAGGACATGTTTAGTGCTCCCATTGAAAACCATGGAAGAGCTAGAATTGAAGATTCAATCACTTCCCAGTAAATGGGGTCTCACTGGAATATTCCTTTAGTACATTATATAAAGGGTATATAATAGAATTAAAAGGGAGCTCAACTTCAGGCCCTTTAATGTTGAGCTACCGCTGCCTTTTTAGTCTTATCTCGCAATTTTGGGGTTCATGTTTTGTTTTTTTTACTCCTTTTCACATTATCTTTATATCTTTAGTTCCAGTTTGAAGAAACTTATTGTATTTCTTCCCTGTATGAAATTGGCTGTGTTGAAAGCATTGCCAAGATCCAATACTCACAAGTGACATCTGGCCAATGTGCTTTGTGCTCACTCCAGTACATCCAGCCGTTTTTACTGTAGCATGTCTTCTTTATAGATCCCGTAAACCACCTCCAAATATGTTTTATGATTCATGCTATAAAAGATAAAATTGTGCTGTATTAAAGGGCACACCGGCAGGACATCGGACACCATTACTCTTGTCAGCATGAACAAATTGCTCAACTCAACTGGAAAATTTTGGAGCAAGAAAAATGCATAACCAGCAAAAGAAAAAGTAGGGTTGCTAAACAATGCCAGAAAATTGCCTTTGTCACAGATTGTGATGAACTAACTGGATTGTTTTAGTGTAGGTTTAATGTCAAGAAATGGGAATTCCAAGTCCTGTACCTGCAGACTCTGGTCCAAAGAGAGAGAACAGGTTCATTCTACTTTAGAAAGTGCTGATTTCTAAGATCATCTAATATAAACTCTAAGCACTTCTGGAAATGTGTGATTTAAAAAGTGCAGAACGAATGTGTATTTTGAAAGTAAACATACATTATGACGTTGGATAAAAACCAAAACCTCTTTAGTACTACACGTTTTCCAGCTCAGCTAAAACCATATATTTGTTTTTGACACAAACACACACACTCACACACACTCTCTATAATTTTAGTCTTATTTTGTATTTTTAGCTTTATCTGCTATGTTAAGAGAACTATAACATACTTGAAAACATAATTTATTTTGTTAGATGAAAAGTGTAAAAGAAATGTTGCTCACAAACAATCTGGAAATAGTGAATACATATACAAAAAGATAAGTCCTGCGCTCACTCCCATCACTCCTGGGCGGCAGCAATGACCACAGTACACATCAGCCCCAATATATAGTTAAAAACCAAAGGAAAAAAGTTATCTGCGCTCTCTCCTTAATCCCGATGTATATTTAGACAAATGGACGTCATTTAGTAACTCCAATGGCCATTGGAGGGAATGCCCGCCTGCCAACGTCAAGGCAGACCCCCCTAAGCGGGTCCTACACTGACCCTTCACCTTGCTTCCTTGAGCTTCTGGCAAAGATATCTCTAATGAGACAGAGAGGGGTATTTTAAAAAAAAATAATCTTTGGACCTCAATTTGTCTAAATATACATAGGGATTAAGGAGAGAGCGCAGGTAACTTTTTTCCTTTGGTTTTTAATCTGGAAATAGTGTTTTTGGTGTTTTTATGATGCCTTGTGAAATCACATCCAGCTTTGTGATGTCACATCAGCAGTGCCAGGAATGTATACATTACAATACAGTGCTGGTTGCACTGGTTTTCCTGATAACTGTCCCAGTTAGTACTTTAGACTACTTTTTAGAACAAAGTGGCATCAGCCACTCACAAGGTTCAAATTAGGCAGATTTATTGTAGCGAAAAAAGTACTTTAGAACAGCATTTCGAAATTCACCAAGATCTTTGTCAAGCTTGACAAATCTAATAATGATAGATGTGTTTTCGTGCTAGGTGTCATGAAAAGTATCAGTTTTTCAGAATTCAAAGTGATTCCGATTTTAGGCTAAAATAACTGTAATAAAATATAACAGTCTTGTATTTTTATTCAGTTCAGCTATTCTGGCCTAGAGCTGGAAATTAATTATGAATTTCAAACCACTCAAGCTTAGTAAATAAACCTGACAGGGAATACTATGATGTCCTATGCATATGTGTATAGAACCGAAGCATATAGGTATAAACTACTGCAATAGAAACCCGTAAATTGAATCACCTTAGAACTATTCCAGAATGTATTGGGTTTAAGTGCACACTTCATGATGTGCCTACAGCCTCTTACTTGCTAGGCGGGGAGGAACACTTGCTGTAGTGTAATTGTCATAATCTAATCCAGGTTTGTTTTAAAAATGGCTGTTCATCTTTATATTTTATTACAGAATGTATAGACTTTTATTTATTTATTTTATTATTTTTTTTAAACCTATATCAGACCTTGTCACTATTTGAGTCCCATCGTTCCGGACATGTAAATGCATTTATGGAAATGAGTGTTATTTATTAAAATTTTTAAATCACCGTGGCAGAAAATGAAATTTTAGCAGCTATAATTAATAGAAAAAAACGACGTGGCATGATAAATAGGTCCAGTAAATGCAAAGAGAACAAAATTAAATATGCTCACTGGTGTATGTTACATGCACCACTGAAGTGTGTTGCTTATGTGAAATTCAATGCATTTTTAATGTATAACATTACGTTATAGGCAGGAATTATTAAATGGCAACATGGGCCTTGGAAAGCAATCCCATGTAATATGCTAAAAGGTATGTGTAATGCGTTTAATGTATACTTATTTTCTCTGTGTTTTTCTTCCCTCAGCATCAAAATGGTATTGATGTGGACAAGTGGAGATACGTTCAAGACTGCATATTTTGTACTGAATCAAGCCCCTTTCCAGTTCACAATCTGTGGACTACTTCAGGTGTTTGTGGACATCACCATCCTGCTGCAGGTGTACCTGTACAGCCGCTACCCTCAGAAGCCAGTTACTCACCCCATACATGCTAGCAGTGCCAAAGTTCTGTGACGAGAAAAAAAAAAGTACTGTTTTACTGTGTGCTTCCTGGTCATTGAACTGCACCTTCTACAGCTTCCATGGTATACATACCACCAGGGACATGTGAAGTCCACCAATATATTCTGTTTTTTTTTTGTTTTTTTAATGTTTGTTTTCCCCAGAGAATTGAGGTAATGATGCTACAGTCACTCTTTACAGGTTTGTGCATGTATTTCTATAAGTAAACGTGTAAATCATTGTACGGCATGTATTTGCAATGAGTATGTGTGTTGGTGTATACACACACACCAACAGACATACAGAGTTTTATAGAGAATTTAGTATCCTGGATTATTTATTTTTTCTTTCTAATATATCCTGTTTGATATGCTGACCACCAACAAACTACCAATGACTACCCATTGCATGCAATGATACAACAATATACAATATCACAGCATGTTAAGCAAACTGAGGACAGTTTCATTTGGACACAATCTACTTATCACTAAAATGTTCTGTTTAAAAAAAAAAAAAAAAATGTTGCCAATCCAATTTGTATGTATATGGATACATCCAGAATATCTCCACACAAACTCATATGCATATACACACACACACACACACACACACACACACACACACGTAACCTGTAGCAGAATTCTCATGAAAAGTTTGGTACCTTGTAATAGATAATCACCTCTAGCTGCTTTGTATATAAAGATTATTCAGTGCCAGAACAACACAAAGCAGTGAGTTCCATCCCAGTCCTCTAGAAACACCACCAGTCCAAGATCTTGGTATTTCACCGTTATGGACTTTTGGGGATGCTGCCAATACTTGCGCCATTGGTTTGCCTGAGGACGGAATTGAAGAAAAACTGCTATAGCGGAATGTCTTGTGTATCCATATCTTTGGTTCAGAACACCATTTCTCACTAGCTTGAAATTAAATACACGTATCTCTTTCCATTATAGATTAGCGCACATTTTCATTGACACACATCTGCACGGCAATGGTGATTACCTCTTCTGTGTCACTGCATTAGCTGCACTTTATCAGTATTACTTATAATGAGCAAAGCTTTGCAGTTTAGTTCTTAATTATTAGTCTGTTTTCGACACCTAGGACCTTCGACTTTTAGTTTCATTTTTATACCTCATCGATAAAGATGGAGGAGTGTTTCCTGGTAGAAATTATTATAGAGGCCTTTCATTGATTTTGTGCTCTTTTTCATGAATATGAAGTATTTATGTCCTATTACATTGTTATTAGTGTTTTGAATTCTTCAGCAAAGTCTGTGAAAGGAAATTAGCAAAATGAGCCTGTGTGGTACTTTAATGGTTTATTCCAGGGTTAGTATATTGTAACATTCCAGCTGATATTAGACTATACTGCCAGGTGATTTCAATTAAGCTTTTAGTCTATACATCAGTTGCTTATATTCTAAACCACAGCACTGTATTATAAATACATTGACATCATTTTACATTTAAATCAACAAGTATGCAATTAAATATATAGCTTGTACATGTTTATACATGACTGTGTGCAGTATTCTTTAATACCAGGTAAAGGCACCTAGATTATACTCTTATTAAAAAATACATTAAAAAATAAAAATAAAGTTTTAGCTAATGACAAGGCACAACACCACTGTCCCTACAAATAAATAATAAATAGCTTTAATTTGGTACTGTTGGCAGCTGCAGTGGTAAGCTTACATGAATATACCACTGAATATTAGCTATATAACAGCAGGTGTATCTGAGCTGTTACTAGCTCTGTAGTTTGTCCCCGATTTTCCACAGTGAAAAGAGTCAGACAATCTGCCAAAACAATGGCAATTTATGAAGTAAAATATCAGCCCACTGATTTATAACTCAGTCAATTTAATATTGGAACTCTGCGCTTAATTGGGGTAATTGTAATTTTTTTTAATATATAAATATATATTTGTTTACAAAATTAGCTTAGAGAGTGCTCTTTGCTTCTGTGTTCACATGTTTCACTGTATTGGTGTTTCTTTGCTCCTGTTGTCTATAATCCGACTCAGGAAATGTGAGCACTCTTAATTTGCAAATACGAATCAGCTACACTGCAATGACTTTGATAATTACATTTATATACTAGATCAGATTTGTTTACATTTTACCTCTGGCACCATTAATGAATTTCTGAGCAGATATGAAAGTAATTCCAGTGTGTCTTTGTTTTAGTTTTCTTTTTCTTTTTTTCTTTTGTTACTGTTGGTGATTGTGTTTTGAGATAGATATATAGATATATATATATATATATATATATATATATAAAAAATTATTTTTTTGTTTTTGTGTGTTTGTGCATAGATTAGATTGGTAGTAAGGCAAAATATAATTTCTTAGTTTTGATTTACCCAGAATTGCATGTGTTCCTTGTGATCTATTCTATATGTTCTCAGAGTGAAAGCCTAAGTTAGGTATTTGTTAACAAAGCTCATTTGATAAGTATGTGGCAATGGACTGTTTTTAAATAAAGGCCAGTGCTTGTTTGGGTATGTAATTATTAGCTACGGCATTGTAACTTATCTTTTCGTAGAATATTATTGTACTGAATTTGCCTCAGCCATGTTATCATAGACAACTTTTCTTCAAGGACAGAGTATTGCAAAGGAGCAATAGTATTCTAATGCTTCAATTTTCACAACTACTCCTAAGCTCTTAAAATTACTTCACCAATATATACATTCCTTCTTTATTTAATGATTAATAATTGATATATTGAAGTGTTTGTCCTTTGATGGCCACTCTTGTGTGCCACAGCCATTTTAAGACATCCATATTGTAGGCCTAAACCATCAAAATCTAATCATCTTTTTTAGAACTCAAAGCCATGTATAAAGGGGATGTTTATTTTGACAGTCTTTGATTGCATAATATATCTGTGTTTTTAACCCTTTAAAGCAGTCCATGGGCAACCTGAAACATTACCACCAAAGGTATTTAGCAAACATTTATATTGTACATGTAGAAAACTTTTCCAATTTGCATTAGAACATTCCAAACACCTAGAGAACTTTAGCTTGCATGCTTTACGTGGTGTCCTTTTTTTCATATTACAAAAAGTGTATATTGTATTAGACAACTGGTCCTGTTACTTCCTGGTTTGGTTAGCTCAGTGGAGATAAACACAAGCACCGTGCAAATATTTCCCATTGAGCTACATTGAGAAGTCTGTGATTGGACAACCACAGAAAGTCAGGGCTTAGTTAGAAGGGAGGGCTTGCAAAGGCTGCAGATGAGATCTGCAGCTTTTACAATTAGTTTGTAAACACTCTTTAAGTTTGCAGATAAAGTAAGCATTGCACACTTGCAAGCTGTTTTAGATGGATCCTCATTGGAAAAATTCATGCCTGTTTTCATTGGAGTATATCTACTAAATAGTGTTTGTTTGGGGGCAGTAAAGTGTCCCTTTACTGTATTAATACAATTTCTTTATCTGAGCAAACTTTGACTAGGTAAAGTAATCATAGTAATGTATCATACATTCATATTGCATATGACATTTAATTCCATTCCAACTTTTCTGTATTATTAGACATAAACTTGTATCTTCAGTCTGTGGTAGCGTATGATTGCATATGATATTTTGACTTATAATACTTAAATGGCTACTATAATCCCTTTGAAAGTGGGGACCTGTCTGGTGTATAATGCTCTACCGGGCACTGTAGAGATGGTTTCCCCTTTCAATTAGCAATGAATCTTTAAAAAAAAAAACTCACCTGCTATCCAGCACTAAACAAAGCTCCTGGTGCTGCTATCCCATGTCCACTCCTAACATTACTGGAACCACCCATGAGAAGCTTGTGATTGGACCATTTTTACAGTTCAGATTGCATGTGCGTGCTCTGAGCTGGCAAGGGAAGGGAGGGAGGGAGGCAGAGAAAGGGAATGCGGAGGAGGAAGGTAAGTGTTGTTTCTTTTTATTTTTTATTTAATACACCAGTGATGCAGAGGGAGGGGAGAGAGCTGACTTTCCCATGCAGAGTTCTCAGCTACCAATGTCACATGTGCTGGGGGTACAAAAAACACCCTCCAGCACACAATTACAAATATTTCTGTATGTGCAGTGTTTCAAGCTGAAACTATGCAGATACTGACTCCTACCAAATCACTGAAGTGGTCATGATGGTTGCAGTAACCCTTTAATTAAAATGTACTTGTGTTTCCAATACAGTAGTTATACCCTTTTTGCATTGCTTTTCTATGTACACACAATATATATATTCTAATTAAATATACAATCAAAACTTGCAATAGATGATGTTGTTTCCCTTGTAATCGGGAATTAAAATGCTGATAGGGGTGATTATTGTTACATAACTCTCAGGGTATGTAGTATTGAATGGCAAAATTGTAAATGAAGAGGGAGGCTGCTATGTATGTGACAGACATGTTTTACTTTGATTCAGGTGGTGTCCAGCTTTTGTTAGACTTTATTATTATTATTATTATTATTATTATTATTATTATTTTTAATTTCTGTCATTTGACAGCTTTTGTATTACAATGTTGTTATGATTTCCCTTGCATTCCGATTACCTTGAGTGATAGGCCTTCTTTGTAGGTCAGTAAAAATTTATTTTCTGTTTATAGTTTTATGTGGGAAAAATAGTCTACATCAGTGGTCCTTCCTATTGATCTTTGTAAGGAAGGCGCATAATAGAAAAAAACTTTTGTATAATATGATGTTATTTAACAGCACAGTTGCATATTCTGGGCAGAATTCAGTACCAATGAAAGTTTTAAATAATTTAGCCTATTTGGGATATTGGAAGGATGTTTGACAAAGCTTTGAGTTCCTTATCCCGATTTAGTATATTTTCAAAATGGTGCTGCTCTTTGTTATAAGATTATTCTATTTTGTATTGTCTTGCATTCAATAAAGAAAAAGTGGATATTGGGCTCTGGGTGCAAGAAAGATGTAAAACCTATTGCTATGTGATGTCATATTCACACAGCCATGAATTAATAAAATTACTTTGCAGCCCAGTGCACAAGTAAGTGTGACATGAACATTGGCTGGGGGCCTGAAGAATGAAGTAACTATGGGGGGACAGGTACTTTATAAAGTTTTTCCAGTTGGCTATGGCATGAACACCATTTAACATTAAAGGGGCACAACCATGAAAATATTTCTCCCTTAATTCTCAGCACAGTCTTTGTAGTCCATAGTAGTTTTAGATAAATAAATTCATTGAATGTTAAATTCTAAAATATTGTTTCATTTGCTGCTGTGCATGGGTAAAAAATATAATTTTTTTTTAGCACTGGGTCTAATCCATGACATCCCTTTAGAAATACATTCTGTATATGTTGCCTTATTATACTTAGAGAAAAATGTCCACATAAGCAAAATGAGAACAAGCCTTAGTCTTAAACTAATGGAAAACCGGTACAGTTCACATAATTTTTTTTAGGTGACAAGTAGAAAAAGAGGAGCATAATAAAATAATAAGATTTAAAAAATATATATATTTTTTTCTTTTGAAATCCAAACTGCTCGATGCAAATACGACATTTATGTACACAAGCACGTGTCTTTTTCATGATTGTGTCCCTTTAACAATCTTATGGTATTTGATTTGTCTTACTACCAAACTTGATTTATAGCATCGACTATTCCGCATTAAACGTTTTGATTGCACTCTAACATTCCTGCAGTTTTATTTTAGAAATATTGTCTACTAGTTATTTTTTAATGTTCATAAAACATGTTTTTTTTGTTGTTTTTTTTGTCAATGGTGTAAAATTTTACAATTTGTAAACATGTTATATAAGACACTTGATCACTGTATGTTACATTTGTAAGTTATGTTGTACTGTATGCATACCTTCTTGCCAAAGTGACCTTCTAGACCTGGTGGTGGTTACATTTTGCTCCCCTAATATTTACAAGCTACACTACCCATGCTCGGCCAACCTCAGAGCTGGGAAATGTAGTTTGCAATAATTTGGAGTGCCAAAGTTAGGCATCACTGTATTAGATGTAATGTTTGGACTATATTTACCAAAAGGTAAAAAAAAAAAACCCTGAGATATTTCATAGAGTCCTGGGGTCATCACCTTGAACTTAAAGCATACCTACGAAGTGGGACAGTAGCCTGAATAGCTTGAAACTAGCCTATCTCACTGAGTAGTTGACTTTAATGAGGTATGTTAACGCATCATGCTATAACGGTAGAAGACAATGCTTTCACATTTAGTAAATACAATCTTCTACTTGATCTGAATGTGTTTCCTTTTAATAAAAAAATCATATTCCAGTTAAATTTGTTTGTTTTTCTTAAAAAAAACTTTCATATAATTAGATGCCGCATTAAGTTTTGATGTACTGAATGATAATGTAATTTGTATAACATGTCTTTTTTGTTTTAGACTGCTATGTGATGTGCTACAACACATTTTCTCTTACATTTCACCTGCACTGTACTAATTAAAGATCTTGTTTTCTTTTTCCCAGACACCTTTAAAATATAATAAATATGAGCAGTTGTCTTCGAAGTTTGAAGAGAAAGTCACCTTTTGATTTGGCAACCATTACATTTGTATTCACAGCAGTAAATGCTGTTAAGGCATTTTATTGGGGTGAGGTTTGTTGTGGTAACAGGGCACACCTTGACACTGCTGGGTATTGTTGCCAACGTCCTCAGGTGGCAACTTTGGCATTTTCTTCCATAATGCCATACATGCTGGGAACCCTTCCAAAATCACAATAAGAACACATCCACTGCATCATAGGAGAAATTGTAGAAAATGTAATTAATATTTTGAGAAGAAATCATACCATTACTAAGTTTATTAAATTTGGCTTTCGTGCTATGTAAAAAAAAATAAAAAATGACTGTTTTCACTAAGCGTATTAAAATTAAAGAGACACTGCCAAAAGGTTGTTTTTTAGTTTTTTTAATCTAATGTATAGCATTTAATATCGTGGATGGCAACTATCCATAGGTTTTTACCTTTTATTTATTTCTACTTTTTCTCAAAAGAAATTTATACATTTATGCTGCCAAACCAACTCTGAAGTAAAACCTGATGTTATTAAAGTCGTTTCTAGAATACGTTTTTGACATATTAGGCCCTGCTATATTTTGAGGATAAGTGCTTTGTTTTTCATGTAAATTATAAATGAATTCAACATTCTGTTTAGCATTTCATAAAATGTGTGCTTTATAAAAATGGAAAAAGACTGGGGAATGTTTATTTGATCTGAGTGTTTTGCTTAAAAAGAAATTTGCACTGTTTTTATAAAAGAATCCTTTGAAATCGATCAAGCTACCGACTCTTACAACTGTAACTGTTTTTGTGACTATACTCAAAGTTGATGAAAAATTTAATATAAAGAAATTGAATGTGAACTTTTGTTCTTCTTAATTTGTGCCTCTACTTTTTTTGTTTTTAGTGTTTAATACAATTAGCCAGAATTTGCAGTAAAGGAAGTATAAACATTAAATTACTCCTTACAGGAAGTGTTAAGGAAGGCTGTGTAAGTCACATGCAGGGAGCTGTGACATATCTATTGATGCTTTGGAACGCTGTAATTCAGTTTGAGAGCCAACTTGGAGTTGCTTTGCATTCTTACTTCCTTTACCAAAAGTTCTATTGGGGCACAAAATACGGTTATGACTAGGACAGCAAGTCTTCTGTGAGTTTTCTGTCAATATATCCTTTTTTATTTTGTATAGAGTATTTTATTTTTTAAAGGGACATTGTTTTAGAGAAACTGCAATGTTCATATTGCAGGGTTAAGACTGCGTATAGTGGCTGTCTACCAGCAAAAGGATGCTGAATAGTACAGAATGTGTGTCTTCAGGCAACAATTTAAGTTCCTTGTGTCAGAATTTCTGCAGAGTTGTGGATTTGGTCAGAATTAATGGTCTACTCATTGCTTAAAGTACTGGTAGATATTTACCCATTAAGTTGTACCACCACAGATGCTTTTGATTGGCCCTTAAATATACTTTACATCATTACAATGACCCCATACATACAGCCAAAGTCATTAATAATGATCTTCAGTGTAAATAACAAGGAGTGCTGGAAGCGATGGTCTGGGTACCCTCAGAGAACTGATCTTAACATCAAGTCTGTTTGGGATTACATGAAGAGACACAAGCAACTGGGACTGCCTAAATCCACAATAGAACTGTTAGTTCTCCAAGATATTTGGAACAACCTCTCTGCCAGGTTACTTAAAAAAGTTGAAGCAAGTGTACAGTGAGGAAACTATGCTGTTTTATAGGCAACAGCTGGTCACAACAAATACTGATTTAATTTTTTTTTTTCTATTCTCACTTTGTATTTTTTTAATTAATAAAAAAAATTCTCTCAATACTCTCATGCACCTTGTTTTTTGCTTTCCCTAAGGTAAAAGGGTAATCCCTTGCTCACAGTGCCTAGAGTGGTAACCGCTATACCTCACTGACAAGGCCTTACAAGGCTGAAACTATAGTCTGTGGTTGCTGGTATTTCTCATGCAGAGAGTACTGGCCTGCATTTTGGATCTGTCCTGCCCTTTTGGGTGTGATCAGTGTAATATGCAAACGGCCTGGTTCTTTTTGTAATGGCACAAGATGAGCTAAAACCAGCTTGAGATCTGAGCGGGGACCCACCGAAGGGCAGGCTATTTGAGCTGTTGTCGATTCTCAGTAATCTCATGCACCTCACTTTTTGCTCTTCCTGATAAAAATAAACTATGGCCTTTTTAAAACATTCTTACTTTACTGAATCTTTAAACTCCTGCCTTCTGTAGTATGTTTGTGTTCACTGAAATCAAATATAGGGTGTTTTCAAACCCTCCTATTAGCAGGGCTTATCATATCACCAGGGCTTTGCTGCAGCCAGCACTGTGTAAAGTACGGACAGTACTGTATGCGGTCAGATTCAAAAGAAAACACTTTAACATTAGGAATATAAAAGTGTATTCCTAACACTATAGTGCGCTGTTAAAATTGTAGGTCCCCAGCCCCCTTTTTAAGGAGTACAAATGCCTTTTTAATGACCTTTCTTCCTAGCAGTGCTGTTGTATTGCTTCTTTATTTAAGATCGAGATCAATGATCTCAGCCAATCCAATGCTTGGGAGGCTAGTGTGCATGAGCAAAAAAACAACGCCCTGCGTCAATCAGATGGTCTGTATGAGATCGTCTGATAGAAATTGTCAAGTTTCACTCCGTTATTTCCACAGGAGCGCCCCTAGTTGCTTTGTGTGACAGCCACTAGAGGCATTTAAACCCTACAATGTAAGCATTGCTGTTTCTGCAGAATGAAAATGTTTTACATTGCATATATGAACAGACAGGGACTTGGCACCCAGACCACTTCATTGAAATTAAGTGGTCTGGGTCATGGGCCTCCACAGGAAAATGCTATGATGCAAGGAGGCCCCTGCACACTCTCTTTCCTTTAAGGGGTGAAACCGCTCTCAAATTGTTTAACCCCAGAGGCTTCCTCCAGCTCCAGATCTCCAGGTCGCAGTGGTATTCGGCTTCTGAAACGGAGTGTCCGGAAGTGAAGATTGATGCCATTCATGGGTGCCACTGATTGGTTAGAATGGTCAGCTGACGCTCCTAATCCCCTTAAGGACACATGACATATATGACATGTCATGATTCCCTTTTATTCCAGAAGTTTGGTCCTTGAGGGGTTAAGTCAATCGCTAGTTCCAATTCATAAATTTTTTAAAGTTTTTATGAATGGGGAGCTACTGATTGGCTTAGAGTGCCAGCTGAACGGTGTAGCCAATCAGCGGCACCCCTGCCCAGCGGCATTCTGTGCTTCCTGACACTCCATAAATAAAAGTGAACACATCAACACTGATATGTTTTTTACCTGGGGAGATGAGAAGGTCCAAAGTTTCCTGCCAGACCAAGGTACCAAAGCCTTATGATGTGGTGTCCAGAATGAAGTGGAGGGATCACTTCACTTGTCCTTCCTCCTAAAATCTCATTTTCTTCTCCTTCATTTGACACAGTCTTCTTTTTCTTCTGACACAGTCTTCTCTCCTCCATGGCACCTTCTGCTCCTTTACCTTTCTGCTACTTTCTGCTTATTTTGCGCCCTTCTACTCCTTTCTCTTTCTGATCCCTTTCTGCTCCTTGCAGACCCTCCCTTCTCCTTGAAGCCCCTTCCTGCTCCTTGCTGCCCCTTTCTGCGCCCTCCTGCTTCTTGCAGACCCTTCCTGCTTCTTGCTGCTCCTTTCTTTTCCTTTTCCTACTTTACCTTTGTGCTCCTTCTGCCCTTTCCAGATGATTGTTGACCCTTTCTGCTCCTTGATTTCCCTTCCTGCTCATTGCAGACCCTTCCTCATTCTTGCTGCCCCTTCTTCTTTCTGTCCCTTCCAGCTTCTTGCAGCTCCTTCCAGTTCCTTGCTGACTCTTTCTGTTCCATGTAGAACCTTTCTGTTCCTTCTCCTACTTTACCTTTGTGCTCCTTCTGATTCTTTCTGCCCATTCCAGCTCAATGCTGCCCCTTCTTTCTGCTTGCTGCCCCTTCCTGCTCCTTGCAGGCCCCTCCTCCCCTTGCAGATTCCTCCTGGCCCTCATGCTCTTTGCAGGCCCCTCCTGCTCCTTGCTGCTCCTTCTACTTCACCCTCCTGCTCCTTGCAAACATTTTCTACCCCTTCCTGCTTCTTGCTGCCGCTTCCTGCTCCTTCCTATTCATTGCTGCCCCCTCCTGCCCCTTGAAGAACCTTTCTGCTCATTTCTGCTCCTTCTACTTTACCTTCCTGTAGGCTGTCTCCCCCCATCCCTCACTTACCTGATCTGTAGGCTGCCCCCATCCTTCACTTACCTGATCTGTAGGCTGCCCCCCCTGTCTCACTTATCTGATCTGTAGGCTGCCTCCCACTACCTGATCTGGGCTGCCCCCATCCCCTCACCTGATCTGGGCTGCCTCCATCCTTCACTTACCTGATCTGTGACTGCTCCCATCCCCTTACCTGATCTGTAGACTGCCCCATCCCTCATCCTGTCTGCCCTCCATGTCTCACTTATGGATCTGGGCTGCCTCCCCCATTACCTGATCTGTAGGCTGCCCCGTTCCTCACTTACCTGATCTGCCCCCCTATCCCTCACTTACCTGATCTGTAGGCTGCCCCCCCCATCCCTCACTTACCTGATCTGTAGGCTGTCTCTGCTGGCTGTACTCTGTGCTGCAGTCAGGAGAAAGAAGCAGGGATAAGCCGTAGCTTCCTTTCCCTACCTTTCTCCATTCACAGCGCCAGTGCCGGTATTGCAGTGTATTCTCACACTAAAACGAAAAATAGCAGCACAAGCTGGAAAATCCAGGGTGGGGCGAGTGCCCCCACTTGTCTCCCTCTGTGGACACCCATGGTCTGGGTGCCAATAGTGCCCCTTGAAAAATTATATTTCTCCCCTGCAATATTTTGCAGAGTACTGTGGCAGATCACAAAGTATGTCACAGAGCTGCTGCTGATCATACAGTGACTAGACACCAGTCTTAGTGCGGAAGTCAGTGTTTGATCTCACAGATTTGTAATTAACATATGGGGATTACTAACAGATCTAGTGAAGGTCTCTTCAGCCTCTGCAGTTCCCCTCGACAATATTATCCGTATCCGGCAATGCCAGAGATGACATTATAGGGATGTGGTTGAACTTTGAAGTTCAGTCACTCATTTTTAACGGGGTGTGACTGCTGTTATTTTGATATTGAATTGCCATGGGACAAACCTTCAAATACAGTTACTTTTGTGCATATATAACTAAAATGTGCTGCATTTTAACTTTTAACCGTGTGGGATATATGAATTGAAGATAACTTGTGTATTTAAAAAAAAAAAAAAAAAAAAGCAGTAGGTTAAAATAATTAACATGGAGCGCACATTGTAGAATGTGAAGTCACATATTTACAGATGGCCTTCTGCCCCATAAACCGATGTTGCTGTGATCTCTGAATATAATCCGTATGTTCAAGCATTACTAGACAATAAATGAAAAGCCAATACGAAAATAGGAAGCATCTTTGTGTGTAATTAAAGGACGTCTTTGTTATTTATTTCACATCATGTTTGTTCTCCATTATTAGCATCTTCAATATGCATTAGTGACATCTGTAACAAATTAGTAGCAACTTGGCTCACAATTTTGGAATTGTAACAAAAGCAGTTGTGGCACACTGTGCAAGGTTTTAGCTTATTAGAAAAGCCACTTTGGGAGTATTTATGGCAAATATGTCTGTCATTTTCCCCGGAATAAATCATTCTGTGGTTGCATTTTGCTCCAGTGTCTTAAAGTTTCCATAGCTAACTGTTGATAAATGCATGGGATATGAGCTTTCAGATATAACGAATAAAACAGGGGTAGCTCTGTGC